TGCAGTAGGAAATCAGGCAGTTGTCCAACACAGAGGTCCCTACCCTCCTACCTCAAGCTGACTCTTCGGAGCAAAGGTTTGGGAATGGGAGAAGGAGGTTTAAAAGTAGTCAGGATTAATCTCAGTATTATCACATCTCTCCCCCCAAACTCCTTCCTATGGAGACAAATAAGTTTGGGGTGAGGGTAGACACATCAATGGAACATGACAGAAAAAAAATGAAAATACAGGGAAGTAGAGGCCAGAGTGGTACAGGAGGACTAGAGAGTCATTAAAAAAAAAAAAAATGACAGCTTGAAAAGAAAGATATAGATAACTGAAGACAATAATTTTATTATCTTCAGGACAAATTATAGGCAGATTAACAACTGAAATAGATAAATGCTGAAAAATAGCTACATGTAAATTGTTAGAAATTAATGTCTGTGTAAAGGATTATAAGGCATGGATGGAGATCTTAGGAAAGATGTAAAACGGTGAACAACTACCTACCTATTGTTCCCAGCGCCGCCTCCGCTCCTAAAGAACTGTTCCCCCACCCCACCCTCGTTAGGGGGTCTTCAACCTAACTAGCAGCACCTCTCATATCTTTTCAGCCCGTTGCCCTCCTCCCTCAGTCTCGTTTACCTGTTATCAATGAATTACTAGCGTGTTCCAAAGATGGAGGGAGTACCTCAGGGCTCCGGTGTGTGCTCTGGGCTGGAGAAAAAGAAAGCCACTGGGGCTTGGACGGCTTTGTCTTCACTCCCTCCCTGCTCGGTGACAGAGCCAGCCTGCTCGGTCTCCCCCTGCAATGCAGCCCCTCCTAAGAAGGGCGGAAGGACTCCCCGCCCCCTCCCGGTCTGACTCGGCTAATTCAAATGATAGGTTCCAGAACACTTGAGGGAGGGAGACAGGATTAAAGCATCTCCGTGGGTTTATTGGTCTGCACCACGGTTCCAGCACCCCCGTGCTGACTGAGGGAGTAATGAATGAGCACTTAATTGTCCTCTAATTTTAGGTTTATGGATTAAAAAATCTTGACTCTAGATAACGATAGAGAAGAGGAGTGTCCCTTTATTCCCCGATTTAAGGATTTCGAGTGACTCGAAGTGTTCTCGAGAATCAGAAAAAATTCTCCAGCCCTCCCTCCCGATTGCCTCCCCACTCTCACAATGGGTAAATAAGCTAGCCCCCTTTTGGTTAAGGGTACAGGAAGATCGGGACGGGGGTGTGCTTCTGCGAATCTCTGAAGTCGGTTGGGGCCGGAGGATTCCCGGGCTCCGCTTCCTTTTTGCCCCGCAACCGCCGGCGCGCAAAGGTGACGCGCGGTTCCGGACGGTCCAGGGTGGGTGCCAGGCCCTCCTCGAGGGCCCACCTTCCCGGGTTCGCCCGGCAGGGCGGCGGCCCTCGGGGGCTTCCGAGGCCCCTCCCACGTCCTTGCACAGCGCAGCGCCTCCTCTGTCCGGAGCAGGGCTCTGCGCCCGGCTCTCAGCCGGACGGGTTTCGTAATCGCGTCGCGGCCGTTTCCGCCCTCGGCCAGCCCCACCTCTGCCGGTCCGCCCTCGGCTCCCCCATCGCGCCGAGGAGCGAGTCCGGGAACCCACACTGGCGTGCCCCAAGCGGGAGCCCCCCCATCAGCTGCCGCCGGACGCCTCGATGCCGGAGCAGAGCAGGTGAGACCTTGGGGTCGGCCACTCCGCCGGTGCGCCCCGCCTGCCCAGCCTGGCTGAGACGCACCGGATGCTGGGGGTGGGGGAGCAGGGAGTCCGCGGCTGTCGAGATGCTGGGTCGGTGGCAAACGCGGGTGCGCTGGGTGAGTAACCGTCCCTGTCCACGCTCCGGCGGTGCGCAGGTGAGGCCAGTGAAAGAGCAAAAGAGAAGAGTGTTGGGGGGAGAAGGGCGGTGGAAAGAAGGTCTTTTTGGAGACTCACCAACCACGGTGCTGGGATGTGCCAACAAAGTGAAGCACAGCTGGTCCAGGAAGGTCTGAATCTGAGACAGGCAGTCACGGAAGACAGTGACAAAGTCGGAAAAATTCACAGAGAGGTCCCAATCCTAGTTCAGCCTTGGGAGAAGCAGAGAATTTCTGGGTAGAGTTGCGGGGTTGGGGGCAGAAATGGAGTCTATGGGACTGAATATATTGGGGAGGGGGGAGTTGAGGGTCTAGATCTGTTTGCTCTTAAGCCTCCACAAGACCTTCCCGGGGGAAGGGCCCGGTTGGTGCTGGGGCAAATGCCTGGCACTTGACTGAAAAGTGGGGTCCCCCCTACTTCTCTAGAGCCCCTCAGCAGCCCTCCTCCCTGGAGGTCTTCAGAAGGGCCAGCTGCAGCCCCGGGCTCATGGCCAGAATTGCCCGCTCCATTCTCTCCATTCTCTTTCTTTCTCTCTTTCCCCAGCTGCTTCTTGTGAAGGCTTGTCAGGCAGCGGGTTGGAGGCCTTGGGGCTGGAGGCAGCGGGACCGGGAAAACCGGTTTGGGGCTCGAACAGTACTAGGGAACTACCTCTGTACATCCTTTCTCCCTGAACCTCTCTCCCATCCGTTCTCCTGCTCACTCCCTGGCAGTTTTAATGTCATTAAGTTCCAGTGTGATTTGGGTGTCTTCTCCACCTCTGTATTTCACCCTTCCTATTTGGGACTCAAGCCAGGTCAAGCCACTGCTTGACTGTCAGGATATGGCCTTATCTGATCTGATCCTGACCTCTCCTGCTGTTTACCCAGCCCCTTCCCCTTCATTTGTGGGGTTGAAATAGTGGGTAGTGGGTTCAGGTGCCTCTTCCTCCTGGACTGACCAGGTCAGGGCTTCGTTTGTCCACAACTCACTGCTTTAGAGATTTATATATTTTAAAGGAGAGTGGCAGCCAATCACTCTTACTTCCTTTTCTGACCTTGCTCCCCTCCCCCTCGCCGCCACCGCATTGACCCTGCCCAGTCTTCTCCTCACGCTGACCCCGCCGCCGAGCTTCAGAGACCCTTATGTCCTGTGTCCTAGGGAATGGAATTTCCTGGTCACTTCTCATCATCATTGGTCATTTCATGCCAAGTCCCACACACACACTTTCCCTCCACCCAGCCCTGGCCAGGTCCCTGGAAAAGGAACAGAAACGTCCTTGTTCCCTCCACTGCCCCCTTCCCTCTCTCCTCCTCCCCCTCCTCTCCCCTGTTCCCTCCCACCATCCGCTTCTGTCCACTCAGCTTTGAGCAAGGGGGGGTTTTGGAGGAGAGTCCAGTCTTAGTACAGCGTGTCTGGTAGTGTTGGGGGTTTCCTCTGATTCTTCATTGTTTTCTTCATCCCCTCCCACCCCCCAATCCTTCCCAAGCAACACCACCACCAACACAACAAACCCTGTGACTGACTGACTTTCCCACTGACCACAGCCCCCCTCTCTGGACAGCTGCATTCTGACTTCCTCCCCGTCTCATTACTTGTCCCTCCAGTGGTGGAAAGGGAAGTTAGAGGAAGCCTGGACTCCTGGGTCCTTCCATCCCCCAGAAACTGTACCTCAGTGTTTGTGTGAGCTCATCTCAAGGCTGAGAAAAAAAATCCCTCTCAGCTCTTAGGTCAGTCTAGGGTGCCAGAGCATCGGGGTTCCAGTCCTGGAGGGAGGGGAGATTCCTATCCAGGCTCAAGTATGGCGTCCGTGAAATTGCACTGTCTGGAATCTTTGAGGTTGCTTGTATTATCCGACTAGGAGAATGCACTGAAGACAGAGGAAACCCATGTGTGTCCTAGTAGTGAAGTAGTGTCCAAGGACACTAATGCTACTGGAAAGTTCCTCATACCTGCTTGGCTGATGAAGACTGGGGGTGGAAGTGCTAAGGAGGGAAGAAAGAGAACAGGTCAGAGCATGAGGGGAGGAGGCAGGCCGGCCCAGGCCCTATGGGCGGAGTGGCACGACACGACATGTGAGGAGGGTGGGGAGCCTGGAAGGAGATTCCTCATGGGACAGAAGATACCTGGCGTGTGTCCCTACGACCTTTGCACAGATGATCGCCACAAGACACATGGAGAAAGGGCCCTGCCGCCTATGTGCACATACAGGTGCACACACAGGAGTGCGTTGATACAGAACACAGTAAAACAGTGTAGGCAGTCCGCAGGAGGGATCTCAAGGTCAAGTAATGAAGGAACTATTAAATGGCTTTTGGGAGGGGTTGGAGCTCACTTGAGGGAAATGAGGAGGAACCAGGGCAGGGAACAGAGAGGGAAGAATTCCTCACTGAAGAAAATCTTTCTTAGGTTCCAGCCTGCTGCAGTTAGTCACCCAGGACCTAGGTAATCAGGGCCTCTCTTGGTAAAGAAAATCAAGGTGTTCAGGGTAAGGTAAAGAAAAAGGGAGGGTCAGGGGTGGAGGCCTTGTTTGTGAGAACAAAAAACCACCATTTCCTCTTTAAAGTCATTTAAATGCCCCTCCCCTTCTGCCCTAAACCCAGGGAGAAGGGAGGTGGAGCTTGAGCACCCCAACTTTGTTCATTTCTGCCAGTATCTTTTGGTCCCCTCCCATCCTGTCACCTTAGCTTCTAGCCCTCTTCCTCTCCCAGCAGCTACGGCTGCTTAACCCCTTGGTGCCCTGTTGGTTCTTTGCCTTTCTCTGAGCGTCATGCTTTGAGTTTATGTTTACGGAGGTTAACACTGGTTACAGGACTGTGGCCTTAAACAGGAGCAAGAAGATACAGGTTCATCAAGAGGCTTCTCATGGAGTGGGGGATGGGGGACTTCTCCTTAACTTTTTTTCTCTCTTTACTCTCTGTTCATCCAGGGTTCCAAGTCTGTGGAAGACATAACCTTGCACCTGCCTGCCCACCCCACTCTCTGACCTTGCTAGTCTCTCAGGATCTGAGACGTTGACCTTCACTGCTCATCTCAGGGCTCCAAGGACTCCACTTTGTCTAGACCTGTCCAGCTGAAACTCAGGGCATTGTTACACCTGAGGGGAGTGAGGGGAGGGCAGTCAAGGCACAAGAACCAGAGCCCTCTGGGGCCTCAGGCAGAGGTGTGAAACTGGAACCATCAGGGAACATGAGTGAATTTTGGCACAAACTGGGCTGCTGCGTGGTAGAGAAACCCCAGCCGGTGAGTCTCCCCAATCCCACCCCAACACACACAGAAATCAGTTACCATAGACTGTGACGAAGACACATTGTATGGAATCTACCGTCTGAAAAGCCCACTTCTTGCCTCCCTCTCTGTCAGAATAGCTTCTAAGGCCAGGCTTGTGTGGGCATGGAATAAAGGGGCTGAATGATGGAAGGGGTGAACAGTCCCAGCTGTCACTTCCTTTTCCTGTCCATTTTGAGTTGGACAGGAGGTTGTAGGTGGAGCTTAATACCTGTCAGTTTGCCCCATTGTTTCCTCATCAGCCAGAGGTGACTTTGACATGCCCTTTCTCTGTCCACTGTGCAGGCCACTGCTCTTAGCACCCTGCCTGTGTCCTCTACATCTGTGTTGTTCTAGCCCCGCCTTTCATACCCTAATCGTTTCCCTATTATAATGCCATATCCCCTTTGCCCCCAGGCCCTTAGCTCTTCCCTTAGCGGTTTTCAAGACTCTCTTCCCTTCCTCCACTGTGATGTAACTCCCTATCTTCTCCAAGCAGAAGAAGAAGAGGAGACGGATTGACCGGACCATGATTGGGGAACCAATGAATTTTGTCCACCTGACTCACATTGGCTCTGGGGAGATGGGGGCCGGAGATGGACTTGCCATGGTAACGAAGGAATGGGGAGAGGTTGAGATGGAATTGTGGCCTGGAACTGTGCCCCGTTTTGAAAGTTGAACCTGGAGGCATAACAGAATACTCGAAGGGAAGCACGAGGCTAGGATTCTAGTCCTGTTAGCAGGCTGCATAAATCTGAGATCTGGCATTTCAGGTCTCTGGTATAGTCGCCCTCATCTTTACAATTAGCAAATTGTTCTTCATTGGGATGGAGGATATATGTCATAATAGTTATTTAGAGGACTTTTTCCCAAAATCATAACCCTTCCTTCTTTCTATTAATTAAGAACTGTCTCAAAAAAAAAAAACTACTGTCTCAGCACCATAGTAAGTCATATTGAGGTTGGGAGTGTTGGGTCAGGGAAAGGGCTGAGCACCTCTGTCCTAAATACTGTTTAATATGCATTTCTGCTCTCAGAATAACAGAGGATTTCCCTGGTGGTCCATTGGTTAAGACTCCACACTTGCAATGCAGGGAGCATGGGTTTAATCCCTGGTATCAGGGAACTAAGATCCCACATGCCATGCCGTGCCCCTCCTCCCCCCAAAAAAGAGGGGGTGGGCTTGGAGATATTGAAGGAATCTTTTCACCAATTATGAAATTGAGATAAATATGAGAGAGTCCTTTGTGAGAGAATCTTACTTGTAAAAGGCCTACTTTATCGCATCCTCATAAAGGTCGATGTGAAGGGAGGCATTGAAACTTCCCTTGGAGGAATGGAGGTTAGTTTTGACCTTTTCATATTTATTTTCTTGTCAAGGAGATGGGGTCAACCTCTTCCCTGGAGAGCACAGGGGAGAACTCCTGCTGTGCTATATTAAGGTTTTGGAGGGTCTCACGTGTGCTTTTTCACAGACAGGCGCAGTTCAGGAGCAGATGAGATCCAAGGGAAACCGAGACAGGCCATGGAGCAATTCTAGGGGCTTATAGCTCCGACAGGAATGGTGAGTGATTAGAGCAACTGATCCAGCGCCTCTAGCCCCCTGCCTTGGAACCACAATCCTTTGCAGGAATGGGAAATGAAGGGAAGAAGAATTAGGATCCAGAAAGGCAGAGGGAAAGAAATAGAAAAAAAGAGCACGCTGTGGAAACCGTTAAGAGTGTGAACCAGGTGTTGCACTCTCCCAAAGGTTATCTTTGAGGCTAATCTTCCTTTTTTCTCTTTAATCAGGATCTGCTCTGTGTCCAGCCTCCACTCTGTCCAGCCCAGAAGAGATGCTGCCCCTACCAGTTCTCCTCCCAGAATCAGTGACCCAGGGCCCCTCTTTTCCCTGTCTGTCTCATAGTGCCTCAAAAGGCTTGGGGGCTGGACTCCCTTTCCTCCCTCTGGTTGTGGCCCCTCCTGGAGATGGGGTCAAGGCAGCAGGACTGACCAAGTGATGACTAATTGGCCAGAGGAGCTCAGCTGAAGCCTTGGACGCTCTCAGATCTGAGATAGGAGATTTCTGGGAACTTGGAATGAGTTCCTGTCTCCTGAATGATGGTCTAGGTGCCGTATGTTTTTAAACTCCTAACCTGGAATTCCTTACATGTGGTGGGTAGGTGAGATGACCTAAGCTGAAACCAGCTTTGCTGAGAAACTCCCTACCTCCCTGCGTTTTGTCTTTCCTCCTGGAGTGAACTGAAGTGGATGTCAGGGGTCTTAGGGGGTGACAACTGGCTAGTCTACTCCTTCTTTTTAGATCGTGGACTTTAAGCTCACAGTCCCTCACTATCTCTGCCAGTACCAGGTTCTTTCTCTCAGAAGGTCTCTAGCTCTATTTCTATAGCATCGCTGACTCCCTCAGATCTTTTCCTCTTTTTTTTTTTATTAAAATTTTAATTTAAGTTGAGATCTCTTAGTTTCCCCATCTTGCTACTACCTCTGTCCTTAACCCCAACCTTGTCATGAGCCTTATTATTTCCCACTGGATAAGAGTTAAGGGGTGGGTCTTAACCTGGAGACATTCCTTTTTAGTCTTGGGGATCTGCCTTCTGCCAACCTCCCTGCTGGCCTAGGTGAGAGGAAGAAGAGGGATCTTGGAGAAGAACCCAGAAGGCTGCAATACTAGGAGTTTATGTCTCAGGGTAGACTTATTGATCGCTGAGGATGGGAGGGGTGGTGAGATAAGTAGGTTGAAAATAGTCATCCTAAAATGAGCTTAAGATCCTCACAGCATGGGAGTTAGAAGACCTCTAGAGCAAGTTTTCTCAAAACTAGGCACTGTGACATCTTGGACTGGATAATTCTTGGTAGGGAGGGACTGCCTTGAGCATTGTAGGACATTTAGCAGCATCCCTGCCTGCCCTAGTTGTGACAACCAAAAATGTCCCCAGATGTGGCTAAATGTCTCCTAGAGGGCAACCTCCCTGCTGAGAGCCACAGCTTGAGAGTCAAGATATTTTCCTCTTACCTGACTTCCACTTGTTCATCCTAAGCCTGAACCATGGATCAGTGAGGGTCTCTTGTAAAATAGGTTCAATAGGGCTGCACCTAATCCCCAAACTCTCCTCAGTGTGTTGCTTGTGCTTGCATGGGTTCACATCTCTGTATGGACATGTGCTGCAGTGCTCTATCCTTATTCTTTCCAGGGTAGGGGTTCCTGCATTGTGGGGGCCTGAACAGGGTGAAATGGGGTTGTGGAAGGGAGGAAGAGAAACAGTAGAGCTGCAGTCAGCCCAGCTTATCCTCCCCAAATTTAAACTGTATTTCTGTGCCCTAGTCCTAGAACCAGACACAAATAAGACTCAGGGAGTTTTGTCTGACGACCAGCGTCTCACTGCCCACCTGGCTGAGGAGTCTGCCTTAGGTGGGAAAATGTAGGAGCAGGGTCTTTAAGGCACTTTCAGTTTTCTCAGGTGTTTTGTTCTGGCCCCTTCCTTGCAGGGTATTTAGAAGGGCAGAACAGATAAGCTCCTGCCTGCTCAGAGATAAGGCAGGGGTCTCGTTAGCTCAGTAACAGGAAGCATCCTGTTTGATGGGAGTGGGAGTCAGGAATGTAAGAACTAAGGTCCACTCTGCTGATTCCACCATCCATGTGGTTCGCCCCCACCTAGAGTAACTGAGGTTCTAATTTTTTCAAATTTCAGTGTATTTCCTGCAGTTTTTCAGTGTCTAAGCTTGGTCATAGGGATGCATTCCCAGTGTACTCAGTTCCAGTTTTGCTAATTGCTCTGCAAGTAGCTCAATAGCCAGAGGGTTATACTAGATCTAAAGGGTTATCAGGATAGGGCAGGAAGATGGGGACCTCCTGGAATCTCTGGTCACCCTGATCTTGAGCCCTATTCTACTGCCTGTTCTTTACACACAATCTTCTTTTCTTTGGTGCTCTCTCTCCTTTAGCTACCTTCTCTAATGTGTATGCTACCATCATTTTAACAATATTGAGAGTGATGGGAATGGGTTTGAGAGTCATAATTTATATTAAAAATTGTTGGACTTTTAAATACATTTTCAAATAAAAAACAGTTGAAGCAAAATAGTTGCAGAGTAATCACTACAGGTATGTGTGGGTTAGAGGGTAGACATTGTTAATGAAGGCAACTCCAAGAAAGTGGCTGTCGTAGAGTTTTGGTCTGACCTTGCCTCTTCTGAGGAGAGAAGGCGAAGTGTTGAGAAGGCAAGGAGACCACTATCACCTTCCAAGGGCTCAACTCGTTCTTCCTGTTCCTTTTTTTGGGGCATTCATCTGAGATTTTTCAAGTCTTTAAAGAAGTACTTGTTTAAAAACAACTTTAGAAATGAGGAAGATGAGGACTTCCCTGGTGGTACAGTGGCTAAGACTCTGAGCTCCCAATGCGGAGGCCCCAGGTTCCATCTCTAGTCAGGAACCAGAGGTCCCTTGCCAGAAGTAAGAGTTCACATGCTGCAACTAAAGATCCCAAGTGCCTCAACTAAACCCGGCGCAGTCAAATAAAAATTTAAAAAATAGAGGACATGAATAGACATAAAAAAATAGAAATGAGGAAGATGAGCAATATTAACATTTTTATCCTGGAGGAGAGGGGAAGAGACCAAGTCATGCTGTTAGCTACACAGTTCAGTTTTAAGGTTCAAGAGATTTATGGTCTCTCCTTCAGGTACCTCTCTACAAAGATACATGACCAAACAGTTTTTTTCTAGTTTTGTTTTTCTGTACTAAAAATATATCCAGTGGGTAATGGGATTCAAGGGGGAGGAGAGGTTGAGATGCTGACACCTCCTCTTGTGGTTGAAGTGGCCGTTACCTCTGATTTCTCTTTATCTGGGTGAGGAAACAAAATAGAAGGGAAAATATTATAACCACATCCATATTCTTTTCCCTTCCTTGCCTCATTTCCCTCTTTTCACAAACCCTCATCCCTTCAACACTATTGCACACTATGCTTTATTATATTGAATAATGATATTGGACATAGAAGGAGAAAGACAAGGACAGAAACTGACAAAATGACCAAGTATACATTTTATTGTCTTTCCCCAAAGCACCTATTATCCTGAGACCTTGAGAATATTTTATCAGGTCAATCAGGAACTTTGGTAGCTCTTTTGGTAAAAGTAAAGGACTATCCTTCCTTGAGAGTTCTTAAGTTTCTGGGAATAATCCCAGAAGGACAACTCTTTGGGTTAGTAGTGGTTAAGAGCATTGGCACTAGTGTCAAACAAACCTAGTTTAAATCCTGCTGTGATTCTACTACTTACTAGCTTTGAAAGCCCTGTTTCTCCATCTGTAAGGTGTGATTAATAATATGATAGGGTTGTTGTGAGGATTGATCCAGGCAAAGTGCACAGAGGAAGACCTCAGATATTGGGGGCTGTTACTGTTAAACTGCATTAATAAACTGAAAACCATGAATATCTTCCACATGCATTAATCATCTCCACATCAAGAATTCTTTATATAACTATCATCTTAACAATTTGGTCAATAATCATCTAGTGACCAACAGTACATGTTGCCTAATAGCCAAACAGCAGTTGCTCAAGAAATGATATATGGAATCAATGGCTAACAATAATGTGAATAACCAATGCATATTATAAAACAATAACCAAACAAGTTAACAGTTCATGCGGACATGCTGGCTGGTTTAGCAACAGGTTTCTGTATATCAGGACTTTTCAGATTCATTAACAAAAATCCTGGCTCATCACTAAACACTTACTGGTTCCATCTCTGTGAACATTGTAGAGAGGTTGTTCCAAATATCCTCCAGCCCAATCCTGACCCGTTTCCAGAAAGCATAGGCTGGGTGGGGGCTGGGAATGGGACTGGGGATAAAGGGGGTGGGCCTGAGTCTGCTGGTTAGAGGGGGCAAGGGAGTGGTGGTGGTGGCGGCCGTGGTGGTGGCGGCCCTGGTGGTGGCGGCCCTGGTGGGGGCCTGAGTGGTGCAGCTGGTGTCAGCACAGAGACCTGCATCTAGGGGACACTCCTCCCGCTCGCGGTTGCAGGGGCATAGGTGGTAGGTGCAAGGCCGGTGCTCGGTGCGGAGTTGACTCAGCGCCCCAACTCGCAGGCGCCCCGAAAGGCCATGCAGTCTCCCGGCCCGGGTCCGGCTCATAGTGCCCGACTTGCAGTGGCAGTGCCACGGGCCCCAGGGCAACAGCACCAGCCGCAGATCCTCCGGCGCTGGCATGGCCGTGGGCGAGGGAGGCGGCCACCGGTTCAGGGTGGACCCTGCTGAGGACCACAGGTTCGCGGTACTCTCAGAGGGCTGTGAGTCCACATTAGCCTTCCAGGTGGAGTGAGGCAGGCTTGAACTCATCTTGATGTCGGAATCCTGGTCATTCGCTGTAAGGTCTGGGCTAGGCCTCCCAGGCGTAAGGCGAGTCGTACCGTCAGTCTCCGACTCGGTGTCATTCCTTCTGGCATAAATTACAACCCCTTCTTCCAAAGACCCATCCTCCTCCTGCGACAATCGTGCCCTGCTGCCTGTGGCCACCGTAGAGGCTAAGAGCTCCGCAGCGGCCGGGCCTGCCAGGCGGTCGGCAGCGGCCATGACGTCGTCCTCATCCTCCATTGTCACCCTCATTCTCGGGGATACAACGCCTGGAGTAGTCCGGGCGGTGGTTCTGTAGCTGCGGGTCACAGGGCCCCCGAAGCGGAAACTGTCCCGCGGCATCGCGGTCGAAGTCAGGCCTTCGGCCCCCGCCGCCTGGGGCCCCAGACTCAGCAGCAGGGCCCAGAGCAGCGCGCCGGCGGCGGGGACCATGGGGCTGGACGGTGTGGGGTTGGGAGGGAGCCAGTGAGGAAGGCTGGGGCTCCCACCTTTTCTCCCTCCCTTCAGCTCTCGACCCAGACCCACCGGGTCGTTAGAACCGAGGCCCGCGGGGGGAGGGGCGGGGGGTTCGCACGCGCGCGCTGCGCCCCTCCCCCAAGCCCGCCCCCGCCAAGGGGCGCCCTGGCAGGCCCCGGGACTCGGGTGAAAATCCCACGGAACATCTGCAGCGAGAACTCCGTGCCGGAACCGACCGACGGATTGTGTGTGATGCAGCGGTTGGGGAAAAAGTAGTTCACTTCCTGGGCGCAGTGCTTAATATAAATCTCTGATTTATTAAGAGATAAAATTTACTACAGATCAGAATTTACTAAAGAGGACAAAGTACAGGTTTTGAAAGTGCCCCTGCTTGGGCTCACAGGCAGCAGACGTGACTACTGACCGGAAGAGGGAAATAGAACGGCTCTTCAACGTTGAGGCTACTGGTTCCTGGCCCCCTGGAACAGGCCTGCCCTCCCCATCCGCCCGCCCCTCACCTCTACAGACTGCGGGAATACCCCAGGTGAAAAGGATCGCGGACTCAAAGAGATGAGGTGATTTGCCCAAGGTTCTACAGCTAAAGCAGCACAGCTTTGCACTTGCCTATTAAAAAATGCCACGACATGCAGCCCTCCAGCTGAAACGAAAGTTACCCAGCACATCAGGGCCCTGCTTTGAAGTCAGGTGCATGGAAGGAAAGACATCCCACGGAGATGTGAAGATCCAGTGGTACTGGGGTTGAAGATGAGATGATTTACAAAACAGCTCAGATGTGTCTGGGTTTAGGGTGTAGGCAGATCCATATCTTTGATTGGTTCTTAAGCCCATTTTTCCAGTCCTATGCTAGGTTCTTCCTGAGCCATGGAGATCGTGGTCCAGCCTAGGAGGAAAAGAGGGGAAAAAATCGGTACAAGAGCAGACCCGGTTTTTATTCAGGGATTTGGGGAGAGAAGCCAGGTGAATTGGAAGATGCTTGGGTCCTTTGTTCCCTAACAACCCTCCCCCACTGGATATTCTCTCCTATTCACTGCCAAAATCCTTTCTTAATTTCTAGAGCTGATCTGAATCTCCTTAAATTCTATGCTGTGATTACTCCTTTATTCCTTGATGCACTTATAGGGATAATTTTTTCATTTGTTCTTTTTACAGTAGTGTCCTTAATTTCTTCTCTGCATGTAAGGAATTTTCCCAGATACACATAAGCAGCTGAAAGCAGAGCCTGTCTTTCAATTCCTTTGTATCTCCCTCAAGGCATTAAGAAAATGGGAACTGGCTTTTACATATCCCATCCCAGACTTTTATCCTTAAACCAGGACTCACTGTCTGACAACTTCTGGGATGTGGACCTGATCCATGGAGATGAGTTGGGCCAGCTCTCCAAGGCTGTTCAGAAAACGGATCTTTCGTGTGAACTTGGAACTGAAAAGAGAGGATCAACCAAGTGTCTTTTACACTAAGAAGAGGGCTCCTGGAGATCCTTACAAAGTGCAACATAACAAGTAGAGAGTGGTTAAAGCTAGAAAGAGTCACAGTGGAGCAAGAACTTCTTAATCTTGATTGTAAAAGTGGGGAGAGGGGCAGGGGGTCTTTGTCCCCCAAGCAAGTACCTGATGAAGGGCCGAAGCAATGCCAGGAATGCCTTCATGTACCATGTAGCATGGACAACCACCAGAGCGCGCAGGTTTTTCCGGAGCCTGAAGAAGAACATGAGACCATCGTACTTTCCTTCCACCTTCATACCTGAAGATCAGGTGGAGCTACCTTCTGTAATTTATTTACTTATTTTTTTCCTTCTGTACTTTAATTTCCTTTGCTGCTTCTCTAATTCCTAGATTTCTCTTGACAGTTGGGTTGAATCCCCATTCCTTTAATTGCCATCTCAGTTCCATCCATCTTGCTTAACCTTCTCTTTTTTTAGGAAACTCTTCTCTCAGAATCCCTTAGCCTGGTCTTCTCAGCCCCACTTCCTTCCCTTGCCCTATGCCCTATGCTCCTCATACTTCTTTTTGTATTGTCCTTCATCCCTCCATGGCCAGGTTAAGACCAGTGAGGAGAGAGAAAAAAGGAACCAGAAGAGAAAACTGGGCAAATGGAAGATGGAGGGAAGAAAGGAAAAAAAGAAAACCCAGGGGGGAAAAAGGCATATAAGGCAGGGGTTGTGGGTTGGATCCCTGGTAGGGGAACTAAAATCCCACATGCCTTGGAGTAACTAGACCCATGCACTGCAACTACTGAACTTGTGTACCTAGACCAAAGAGCTTGTGCATGGCATCAAAAGATCCTGTGTGACACAGGAAGATCCTGCATGTCACAACTAAGACCCAACACAGTTAAATTAAAAAAAAAAAAGGCATAAGGGTCAAGGATGAAGGAAGACAAGAAAAGACAATGGACATGTGGAAAATGAAATAATCAGCAACACCATGAGAAAAGGAAGGGCTGCCTGCCATGTGCCAGGCAAGGCACCATGTTGATTTATTTGATTTTCACAAATGCTTAGTGGCAAAGATATTAATATTATCATCGTCATTTTACAGAGAAGGAAACTGAACCCCAGAAAGGTTAAATCACTTGCCCAAAGTCATACAGGTAGTAAATGATAAAGGTAAGATTTGAAACTAGATTTCCTTGACTCCAAGAGAGGACAGAAAACAGAAGAACCTTGGAAAGGGCTGTAGGGGGACAAAGAAAAGTGGAAGAGGGAGTTCCCTGGTGGCCCTAGTGGTTAGGATTCCAGGCTTTCACTGACTGCCTGGGGTTCAATCCTTGGTCAGGAAAATGAGATCCCAGGGCCAAAAAAAAAAAAAAAAAGTAGAAGAGACCGAATAGAAGAAAAAAATGGAAAGATGGAAGAGAAAATGATAAGATAGAGAGTTATAGCCCTCTTGTCCAAGAGGCTCACCGCCGATCCAGAGTGTGATAACACTGGCGTATCCAGCTCAGAGGTGGAACCTGGGCCCTACTTGTGCCTCCGCTCAGGTGAACCAGCAGATAATTTTCAGCTACCAGCAGCTCCAGAGTTCCCACTATGTACCTGGAGAGATGAAATTGTCAGGGAAGGTATGCGTTTGGGGTTGTGGGGAGTGAGAGGGACATTGCTGTAGACTTGACAGTCAGTTACTGATCAGAGAGGGGTGCTTTTTAACATTTCCCCCCATAACATCCACTCTGGAGCCCTTTAAGCCTTCCACTTCACCTGAACAAGTGTTCCATGACATAGGTGTAGTTGGGGATACTGCTTCTGGGTAGGTAACAGGAAGCAAAGAGGATAACAGCATTGAGGCCATCACCATGGTAGCCTGGGGAGGAGAAGGGGAAAACTCACTCAACAAATAAGTACTGATGGACAGTACATCTGTTTAGGTTGAGCATCTCTGTGGGTCTCTGGAAGTTGAAGGAAGGATTCTGGACACAATAACTGAATTTCCAGCTTCAGCATTTTATTCAAGAAGTCACAGTTCTTACCCCTTCACTTATTATAGCCATTACCTCCATGAGATAGGACTTTCTTATAGGGCTCAATGACAGTCATGTCCACTCGCTGCTCCCGCTGTGCTGTTCGGAACACCCTCCAGCGATGACCATCTTCTCCGGCCACATCCCACATACAACCTCGGCCCAGCCTTTCAGCTGCCTCACTGGCCCCCAGGCCCTCTGCCCGAGGCAGCTCATCTAAAAAGAGGGAGGGGGAAGGATCGACAAGGCAGAATACTATCTTTAGCATCTTGAAACTTCCTTAGATTCTTAGCATTTATTACCCCGACAACTAATTCCTCATGTTCCCCCCATGACTCTAGCCCTGGTTTGTCCAATCAACCCAACCTTTTGCTGATTTCTCTTTCTGTGACTTATCATCCTCACTTTGTCACTGGACAATGGCCTGGAGGTAACCTTGAACTATGGTAGCTTGATGGCCCCTGCCATTTTCCCAGATTCTTTCTTTCTTCTGATGCCTTTCCTTCCTTGGGTGAGCTCATTTATTGCTGTGTCTTCAGTTACTGCCAGTATGGTGATGACTCCTCTCTAACCCAAACTGCTTTCCTGACACCAGAGCCATATTCCTGAATGTCTGGAGTGGACATCTCTATTTTGTGTTTCTCTGTCATCTCCAAGTCACCAGACCCCAAGTGCAACTCACACTCATTCTCTTCCTCTTTGCCATATTCTTTCTTGATGAATGACCCCATCCATATAACTGCCTGGGAGAGAAAATTCTATGCCATTCAAGACTCTTACTTCTTTACCAGCCCTCAAGCCAGATCCTCCTCCATCTACTTCCATTAGATAATAAATTATTCCTTCTGCTCTTACTGTCCTGGTATAACTTCTTAGCATTTCTTATCTGGCCTTACTACTAGCCTTCTATCTCCCTACTCTTATCTGTTTTCTTCCATTCCACCCACCACTGCTAGAGCAAACATTTTTTCCTCCCCTCCCATTTTCACTCAAATAGCAATATTCTCGGAGAAGGCAATGGCACCCCACTCCAGTACTCTTGCCTGGAAAATCCCATGGATGGAGGAGCCTGGTGGGCTGCAGTCCATGGGGTTGTGAAGAGTCGGACACACTGAGCGACTTCAGTTTTACTTTTCACTTTCACGCATTGGAGAAGGAAATGGCAACCTACTCCAGGTTCTTGCCTGGAGAATCCCAGGGATGGGGGAGCCTGGTGGGCTGCTGTCTATGGGGCCGCACAAAGTCGTCCCGACAGAAGCGATTTAGCAACAGAGGCAGCAGTATTCTATATTCACTAAATTTTTGCATGATTTTTCCATAGCCATAGAACTAATTCATCTTAAAAAATAGTTGCATTCTATTCCATTGCATGGATACACAGTAAGAGAATTAACATCCTACTCACAGATCTTTAGGTTGTTTTCAATCTTTTAAAAGCCATTAAACCTGATCATGTTATTCCCTTGATTAAAACTCATTGCCAAAAAAAAAAAAACTCATTGCCTACAGGATAAAATCTAAGCGCCTTAGTGTGGCAGCAGGGACCTCCATAATTTGACCCTTGCCTATTTAACACAGTCTTTTGTCACTCTCTTCACTGCCCAGTCCTTCAGATCTGTAATATAATAATATATACTTTGGTTTTGTTCCTGGCTCCTGACTCTAAAGGTGAAAGTAGTATCTTTTCCTATTCATAACAGGCCTCTTTCAACCACACAAATTTATGTTAATGAGGTGACTTTGGAAAGCTCCTATGGATGGGTGACTGGTTGCCAGGTGAAGTGACCATGATTAGAGGGATGAACTTTTGCCGTCTGCCCTCTGAGAAGGGGAGAGAGATTGGAGGTCATGCTAAATCACTAATGGTCAGTGATTTAATCAGTCATGCCTACATATGAAACCTCCATAAAAAAAAACCCTAACTGAGACTTCCCTGGTGGTACAGTGGATAAGAATCTGCCTACCTACCAATGCAAGGAACATGGGTTCAGTCCCTGGTCTGGGAAGATTCTACATGCCGCAGAGCAACTAAGCCCAAGAGCCACAACTCCTGAACCTGCACTCTAGAGCCTGCCCCGCTGCAATTACTGAAGACTGTGTGCCTAGAGCCTGTGCTCTGCAACTGGAGAGTAGCCTCCACTCATCCCAACTAGAGAAAGCCCATGCACAGCAGTGAACACCCAGCACAAGCCAAAAATAATAATATAAACAAACAAACCCTAACTGAAGGGATTCTGAGAGGTTCCAGTTTGGTGATACACAGAGGTACTGGGAGGGTGGTGCTCCCCTTTCACATAACTTGTCCTATGTATTGCTTCCTTCTGGCTGTTTCTGAGCTGTATCCTCTTATAACAAACCTGTAATCTAGTAAGTAAACTGTTTTCCCAAGTTTTGTGAGCTGTGCTAGCAAATTATCAAATCTGAGGAGGATGTAGTGGGCACCTGTGATTTATCCCCTGTCAGTCAGAAGTACGGGGGACAACCTGGATGTGTGATTGAAGTCTGAAGTCTGAGGGCAGTCTTGTGGGTGAGCCCTCAACCTGTAGTATCTATACTAACTCCAGGTAAGTGTTGTGACTGAATTGTAGGACATCCAGTTTGTGTCTGGAGAATTGGTGGGGGAAAACTGATACATTTGGTATCAAAAGTGTTGTGAGTAGAGAAGAAATCAAAAGTTTTCCTTAATACCCAAAGAGTCACGCTCAATACCTTGAATTCCCCGTCATGCCATGCTATTGCCCAATTTGCTTTTTCCATCTCGAATGCCTCTCCAGCTACCTGATAAGCTCAGAATTGTTTCCTCTGTGAAGTCTTTCTTAATACCTCTCAGGCAGAACTGACCTTCGCCTTCTCCCTGCTTACTCTGAACCCCACATACATGTAGATCATAATCTTTACTGCACTTATCTGTTCATATGTTTATTTTATACTAAACAGACAGTTCCCTGAGGGTATGGATTATCTTATTCATCTTCATAACCTGGCTGTAGCTCATTGATGTCTTCCCTGGTGGCTCAGATGGTGAAGAATCTGCCTGCAATGTGGGAGACCCAGGTTCAACCCCTGGGTTGGGAAGATCCCCTGGGGAAGGGCATGGCAATCCACTCCAGTATTCTTGCCTAGAGAATTCCACACACAGAGGAGCCTGGCGGGCTAGAGTCCATGCGCTTGCAAAGAGTTGGACACGACTGAGCGACTACACTTTCACTTCCAGCTCACTGATAGCATATAACAGTTATTCAATAAAATTTCCTTCAATAAATGAAGTGGCCCTCCCCTCCCCCCATACTGACTACTCTCACATTGGATCTGTAGGCTCCACCTTTCCATTCCAAGGAAATTTTGCTCATCTTACCTCTTGATCCCCTTACTAGTTCTAACTTCAGTCCCATTAAATCCATCCCGAGCTGCTTTAACACTGGCCTCTACTTCTACCAGCTCAGTCCTCAGCTTGCTTTCCCACCTTCCCATTCAAATTCATGTCCACTGTCCAGCAGCTCCGAGTCTGAAGGCGTCTCCAACTCGTCTACCTCCAGGTCAGAACTGCCATCAGAAGAGGAAGGTCCAGAGTGGGTGGGAGAAGCTCCATCATCTCCAGGCCCCTTAGTCAGATTCAGTCGCAACTCCGGGGCAGAAAGACGCTTGCGCATGGGGCGCCGGCCACACAGGGCTAAAGTGCTGGGGGTGCCTGGGGTTGGAGGAGGGGGAAAAAAAGAAGAGAAAGATGGATATGTGTTGGTGCAGGACATTAGAATTCCTGTATATGTCAGTGACCCTATGGGGTGAATTCTAAAGAAGGACTAATGCGGGACATTTGGGAAAAGGGAGGTAGAACCACAAGGGGACAGGCTGGCATAAGCTTGAATCTAGAATCAAGGACTTGAGGCCTAGGTTCTCATTTACCTACCTGCCTGTGTGTCTCTTCCAGGATCATGAGGATCTTCAGAAGGGCCAGTCTCTTCAGGAAGCAGTCTAGACGGGGAAAGCCAAAAAGGGGGGCAGAAACATAGGTTAAAGCATTAAGCCAGGTATCACTTTATCAACTCTGTTTCCCTACCATAATTTTATTTCTTCTTTTCCATCTCTCTCTCTTTCAAGTCCAAATTTACCATCCCCACCCTCCATTTGTGACCACCTATTCTTTTTCCCAGCCTCACTCATACATCCTCACCTAGGAAATTCTTCATCTTGCCATTCTTCCTTCAGCTCCAGTTCCCCAAGTCTCAAGGATGCTCCTAGTATTGCTGTTTCTGCATTCTCCCTGATGCTAAGATAGTCCCCCAGAAAAAAAATATTATTATGAGACAAACTAGATGTATCTTTAAAATATATATACATATGTATATATATATATATATATATATATATATATATATATATATAATTTATTTATTATTTATTTGGCTGTGCCAGATCTTAGTTGCAGCACCTGGGGTCTAGTTCCCTGACCAGGGATTGAACCTGGGCCCCCTGCATTGGGAGTGCAGAGTCTTCCACTGGACCACCAGGGAAGTCCCTAGGCAATATCTTAAGGGAACTGGAAAGGAGGTGAGAACACTGGCATGAAGAATAGTAGTAAGGTACAGCAGAGGGCAGGCCTTAAAAAGAACTCAGATCTGTTGTCTCCTAGATGTTTCTACCACCTTCACTTGTTGAAAGGCAATCGTCCCTACTGCTGAGTGTGGGAGCAGAGGGAGCATGAAAGGTCCCTCTAAGATCCCTCTAGCTCTAAGGTCAAAAGCTAAATTATTTTGACCTGTGTGGCAGTTGTTCCACCTGGACTGTAGGGGTGAGAGGTATTTCGTATTACAATTCGCTGCAATCTGACAGACCTGCCCAGCTGTCACTGGGCAAAGCGGGGAAAGATGGCACCTTGTCAGGCTCGCTTTACCTCCATCACACTGGGGAGTGGTCAGGGGAAACATGGCATGGGTGGAGGGGTGGGGGAAGAAGGTAAGGAGGAAGAGAGATTTGCTGGGAAGGAGGACCTGGATCTTAGCATAGTTCTGGGGCAGCTTTTCTTATGGCCATTCTAGAGGGTGGGAGTTAGAAAATGGAGAACAGGGGCAGATTTATTAGACACAAAGTATAGAAATTAAGCAATAGGGAATTACCCTGGAAACCCCTGTTCCCTAATTCCCGTAGGATACTGGTACTTCCTACCTAAGGCCACCCCCATCCCTTCCCTGCCAATTAGTTCTGTTAGTCTTGTCTCTGCTAGGACTTGGTAAGAGCTGGATGGTGGGAAAATCCCTGAGCACTAGTCACTCCTTGTTTCCGATCACGTCAGCCAAGATCTTACTCACCCGAGATCCACCGTCTTTTCTCCAGCTTCTTGTATAGTTCCCATCTTCACAAGTCTTCCTGTCACCTTCAAACACTTGTAGTTGTCGGGGAGCCGGATGCCCCAGCTCCCCAACACTTCTGTACCCCCTTTTTCTCTGTCTCAGCTGTTGTTCCTCTTGCCTCCAAAGAGGAAGGAGGGTTGGAAGGGAGGTAACCTCACCTTCAAACAGGTTTTGCCACCTCCCTTCCCAAGAAGCAGGTTTGCACAAAAGACAAACCCTGCCTATGTGGGGGCGGGTTGTGGGGAGGAGAGTACATTTTCTAAAGTGGCTAGTCTTGGGTGAGTCTAGGAAGACAATTTTCTAGACTCCTTGAAACCTTCTGGAAGCTGCTTAAAAAAAAAAAAGGCAATGGTAGAAACCATTTTGGCTTTAAGACTATCATGTGATTACTTTTCAAGCATAAGCAAAATCAAGGACACAGAAATATGTGATAAGAGTTCTGAAGAAGAAACATTAAAGGAAAGGCTGAGGATGAGGGGAGATAAAAAGACTGTTGCTCCTTATTCCCAAAGAGCCAACAGAAGGAAGACAGTAAGTACAACAGAAAGAAGGGAAATGAATCTTGAGGAAGTTAAAACAATTATCCAAGGGAAAGGGCTGATTATAGTTGTAAAAAGAGACAATAAGACCTCAAAGAGGAAAAAAGTATTTAATACTTTAACAAAATGCAAAATAAAAGTAACCAAGTTACAAAACGTAAATTCCTTTGGTTCAATAATCACACCACTATTTTACCTGCCAATGGCTACAAACATCATCCCTTCAAAGTGAAGTCAGACTGTTTCCCTCATATGAAGACATCATGCCAAAACCATCACATACCCCCCTGTTCAGCGAAACTGTTGACAACCCACAGGAGACAGAGCTGTTGGGGAGGAAAAGGGGGAACAGGAAGAGAAAAGGGGGACTCTACACATGCAGAACAAGTCAGGGGCGGGGCTCTGTGCTGGGTCACTATGGAATCATACCCCTGTACATGCTACATGAGGCTGAGGACCTTCGTACAATTACATAGAAACAGACAATCCAGTGACCCTGAGCATTCCCAGGGAAACAGAAACAAAAACAAAAAACCAGAGAACCAGAGGTGAGAAAGGATGGTGGCAACAGGACAGAAACCAGGGAATATCAGTTTTGCAGACAGGGAAATGAGACTCGAAGGAGTGAGTGTCTGAGCAAAAGACACAGTTTATGGCACTCGGTATGAAACTCCCTGTTTCCCTCTCCTCTGTGCAAGAGGAGAATGAGATGGATAAGAAATCAGTATTTTTGCCATCTTTTGGGAAGAGTGCCTAGGAGGTCTTAAGGCCTTCCCAGGTGTCTCCTGAACCAGAGGTCTTCTGCAGAGCTGGGCCACCTGATCAGGACAGAAGACAAGGGCCTCCAATCTGCCCCTGAACAATCCTGAAACAGTCATAATAAGCTGAGAATAGAAATTTAGCCATCTTGGATCAGACACCATCACCTAATTGGGGGGTAGAGAGAGGAGTCATGGAGGTGGAAATGAGCTAAAGGCTGAAAACTAGAATAAGCTTAAGGTAGGTATTGTGTTCAATAAATACTTGAATTAATAAGAGAATAAATGAATACTGGAGACAATGCATGTTTGGGTCCATGAGAAATACTGGTTCTGTTAAAGAGCCTGAGTGAGGGCACTCTCGGGTACACATTATTTCTGTGCCACTCTGCGGCACCTGTATGTTACCACATTATGTAATACATACAAATGTATGTTATTACATTATGACCGTGGCAAATGAAATAGATGATAGTCAGCGCAGATTTCAACAGTTAAATTAAATAATAAAATTTGTTTGATTGGTTGAGATTGTGGGGAAAAAGGTAGAAAGCCAGCTCAGCTTTCTTTCTCTTCTTTCTCCTCCTAGGTTAATGACAACAGTGCACCAGATTCTGGAACAATGAAGAAGACAGAACTGCTGAAACATCTCAAAACATGCATTCAGGATGGTTCAAGCAACCTCTCTCACTTTCCCCTTCCCTCCCAACAGTCATTTCTTGGACAGGGAGGCAGTGGTAGATTCTGACAGCGAGATCTGACTACATTTCTCGAAGATGACCTCGGCTGAGAATTTTGGCAGCCCCTGATCCAGGGGGCACTCGTCCACCAGGCTGTTCATGGGCGTGGGGGGCAGTGGAGGCTCCTCCTCATCCTGACTCAGTCCAGAAAGCAGGGAGTTGCCCGCCCTGTCCAATTCTTTGTCCACCTGCTCCCTTGACACACCCTCTGTCTCAGGCTGTCCTAAAGGGATGTTCGTGGAGTCAAAATATGCTGACAGGGCTTCCTGGAGCAGAGGCAGAACTTTCTTTCGAGAGACCTGGGTGTTGCCTTGAAGATAGGCTTGGAGGTTAGGGTGGCTGCTTGGGACAGGGGTCAGCTTCAGGGACGGAGAGTGGGAACGTTCCAGGATTCCACAGATCTAAAGAGGAGACAAGATGGGGAGATGGTATTTAAGGTGGTGAAGCAAAAGGCTGAGACTTCTAAGAGACTTCTCTAGCAGAGGAGGAAAAAAAAAATGTTTGGTTTTTTTAAAAGAAATTATCCAAAGTTGTTTTATTGCTTGCACATCAGCTAATACTGATTACTAATACACAGTATTTTAGAAACAGAAGAAATATTTGAGATCATATATTTCATTTTGTTAATAAGTAAACCAAAGTCCAGAGAGATTTGATGTCTTGAACACAGATGATGGTAGAGTCTGAACCAGAATCTGGGACTCCCAGCTCCTAGAATTTTGTTGTTTCCAAGGGTACTGCTCTGTTTAAAAACTTAAACTCTATCCTTAGCTGAGATGGGCCAAGCATCTGCACTGAAGTCAGGGGAACGATAGAGGCAGAAAGAATGAATAGATCAAATGGGTCTGGGAGGTATGCCAGGCACTGTGCCATGTCTGGCCATTTTCAAATACTACTTTTCTCACTTAATCCTCACAACTACCTTACTGGTTGTTATTACTATTACCCTCATTTTTAGGTAGGGAATCTGAAGCTTAGATAGATTAGGTAACTTGCCAAAGGTCAACTCTGAATGAAGCAAAGCTGATAGTTGAACTCAGGTCTGTCACTAGAGCAGTGTTCTAAATTATTATATACCATTCTGACCAAAGGAGAAAGACAGGAAATGGTAGGGCAGACCTTGAAAAGAGGACTACCATTTCCCAGCACAGAGGCAGCCAGAGTGATGGTCAACTCACCAGAGGGACTGTGGCAGGGAGAAGAGGGGAGACTTAGGAAGGTGGCGTCAAAGCACCCTTTCCTTCATGACCTGATTACTAAGAGTACCTTGTGCCCAGCAGTGAACTTCACATATGATACTATGCTTCACGATCATATCACACTAGGCAGTAATATGCCATTTATGGACTCAGAAGTCAACTGACTTCCCTTTGGTCAAAGGGCCAGTAAGTGGCAAATCTGGGACAGAAAAGCCTATTTATCTACCTTTAAAAGGGTAGTTCTTTCCACAATGCCAAACTTACTTTCCATTGAATGAAATTACGTTTACGTTTGCTTCCTGGAGAAGATAAAGACAGAGAGAGGTGGGAAAAGGCAGACATACCTTTTATGAACAAAAAGATTATCTGGCTATATTCAGACTAGTCTAGCAGTCCTCATTGCTAAGAAATCCAAAGACTCTGGACTGCCTTAAGTCCACTTTTAAATTCTTCCCTGAGTTTATGAGTAACCAACAGAGGAAAAGAAAAGTGGAGAAGTGAGAAAGGTGGCCAAATGGAAGATCAGAGTTAAAAACCAAACCTGCTCCTCAACTACTCTGCACAGTTAGCACAGAGTAACTAATCCTTGCCCAGTTAAAGAGTAAAAAAGGTTTTTCTTCTGTTTTCAGTTTTCAAAGCAATATGGTAAAAATAAATTGATTTCCAGGAGTTAGGAATTAGTGACTAAATCAAGTTTTAACTCCAGACTTATAACAGGTTCTTTTAGCCCAATTCCTTACTAAGTAGGAATTGTGTCTCTAATTTTCTTTAGAATCTCCATTTCTCACCAATAGCATGATTAAGGATAGTCATATATAGAGAAAATGGAAAAAAGGAAGGAGGGGAGATTCTGGAAATAGATCAAGGACCTCTGTATAAATACAAGAACCAAGGAGAGGTCTTTATAGAACAGAGCAGTGCACACAGGCCGAACTCCATAGGACCCCTAGGACAGAGACTCACCGTCATTCGAAGCGCTGCGTGGGGACAAAAAACAGCCAACTGCCGCACTGGCTCATTGTAAGTGTTGAAAAAGATAGTCATGGCAACCAGGGCATCATAGCCGTGAGCCTGGCAGAAGGCATGGAGATCTGCAAGGAGGCCAGACCTCTGCAGAAAAGCCTAAAACAAAAGAAATGGACAGGGGTGAGGGCTACAGCTGGACCCTTATTATCATCCCCAACAAAAGATGCTTATGAAAGGTTTCTTTGCATGATAACCTGATAACCTGGGACTTGTACTCCATAGAAAGGTATCTAGTATTTACTCTGTGCTATTTATGTGCTGGAAGGCAACATATAGAATGAGAATACAGGCTTTGGGTTCAGACAGAATTGGTTTGGATCCCTGATCATAAGCTTCCTCATGTAAAATGAGGATAAATCATTTACCAAACACGATTGTTTTAAGAACTAAAAAATGATAATGTAACTAACATGTTGGGCATGTTCAAGGCTATGTTGCTCTTGCAATCAAACAAGCAAGGTCTTTGCCTTTTGGGTATTTTTATTCTAAATTAAAATAGAATACAAAAAAAATAAAAAATAAAAAATAAAATAGAATACAAATGGTGCATACAAATAAGTACAGATAACATGACAACTGCATCCTTGGCTCTTCATTCTTTGTCTATATTCTTCTCCAAAATCTCATGCGGTATTTCCTCCAATGAATAACACCACCAGCTGCTCCAGATTAGGGCTTTTCTTTATTCTTGGTATTTCTAATGAGTCAATTTATACTGTGATTATGGTACTTGGAAAGCCTTTTGTATTCTTTATTTTTCCTCTAGTTTTTATTATAAAAAAATTTTTTTTAAAGAAAGTTTTTGGCTGTGCCATGTGCCATGTGGGACCTTAGTTCCCAGACCAGGCTCTGAACCCCTGCTCCCTGCAGTGAAAGTGCAGAGTCCTAACCCCTGGACTGCCAGGGAATTCCAAGCCTTTTGTGCTCTTATGTTTGGTTCCCAAACTAGGTTATAAGTAGTAAGAGAAGAGGCCAAACTATTCTTTTTTTGGTTATTTAGTGTTTTTACATGTTATTTAGGAGAAAGCTGTGCAGTCTATGAAAGTATGTGTTTAGATCAGGCTGTTGACTGATTTAAACCAATATGATATGGAACTAGGTATTAAAATACCATTATCAGAGTTATATTCATTCACCCATTTGACAAATTCACTGAGCATCCACTATGTGTCAGGCACTGTCAAAGTGCTGGAGATATACCAGAAACAAAAAAAACAGGGTCCCTGCTTAGGGGGAGTTGATAAACTAGCAGAGGAATATAGACAAAAAACAAGGAAACCATGAAACATGATTATTTCAGTGTGCTGAGTGCTATGAAAAAAAACAAATAGGAACTTCTTGGCAGTCTGGCAGTTAAGATTCTGTGCTTTTCACTGCAGGGGACCCAGGCTTGATCCCTGGTCAGGGAACTAGATCTTGCAAGCTGCATGGCCAAAAATAAAAAGTAATTCTTAGAGATTTTTGAGCACAAAGGGCATTACTTTAGTTAGGGTAATCAGCAAAAACCTTTTAAAGGAGGAGACACCTGAGCTAAGTCCTGAACAAAAAGAAGGAGCCAGCTCTGCAAAAGGAGTGCAAAGGCTCTGGGTTGAGAGTGAGTTTAATGGCTCTGAAAAACAGAAAGCGAACTGCGGTGCCTGCAGTACTGTGGGTGCAGGAATGGGGCTGGAATGAGCAGGTGTCAGAGAAAAGGATGAAGGCCTGATCAAAGATGGCCCTTTAAACCACAGTAAGGCCTTTAGATTTTATTAGAAGTGTGATGAAAAGGCAGTAAAGGCAGGAGGGCCGATAGGATCTGACACATCTTTGTTCATGCCTCGCGGCTTGCAGCATCTCAGTTCCACAACCAAGGATTGAACCCAGGCCAGAGCAGCCAAAGCACTGAATCCTAACCACTAGACCACCAGGGAATGCCCCTGGATCTGATTTATTGTCTTAAAGAGATCACTCTAGCTGCTGTGGGGAGAACTGTTTGCAGGGGCCGAAAGTGGAGACAGGGAAACCAGCATGGGGGTCACTACAGGTCACTGGGGGTCTCACAGTGCAGTGAGAGATGATGGACTGTGGAGTTACAGTAGAGATGGAAAAAAGTAGGTACAAGATATATTTTGGAGGCGAGCCAGGAATAAGGGACAAGGTTACAAACAAAACTGAAGGTTTTCTCTCTCCACCCACACCTACATCTTGCTCTTACCTCCATATCCATATATATTGCACTAATGGCCACCTTAGTGCCTTGTCTGGAGATGTTCTTCTGGTCCTTTCGCAGCATCTGCTCTGTGGTCAGTCCTAGAAATTGGATGTGAGACTAAGGGTCAAACAAGAGAACCAAGAGAACCCAAGGTCCTAGGATCAGGAAGGTGAGGACACCAAGACAGGTCAAGCAAGAGGAAAAACAGTCGCTCTTTGAGGCAAAGAACAGGGCTCATAACTCAGGATGTAATTCTAGAATGGAAATTTACTTTAAATAAAAAATTATTTTCAATTAGTGGGTCACAACAGTTACCTTTAGAGCAAGGGACTTCGGGGAGCAGGGAAAATGGAAGAAGAGAGGGTTTTACTCCTGATTTTCCCCTTTCTGGGTTGTTTCACTTTTCTAAAAGTACATGTGACCTTTCGTTCTCTTTTTTAAATATCCACAAGCAGTGAAAGAAAGTCGCTCAGTCATGTCTGACTCTTGGACTGTAGCCCGCCAGGCTCCTCTGTCTATGGAATTCTCCAGGCAAGAATAATGGAGCGGGTTGCCATGCCCTTCTCCAACCCAGGGATCGAACCGGCTCTCCTGCACTGCAGGTGGATTCTTTACTGTCTGGGCCACCAGGGAAGCCCTGGTGGTCCATTTCTTTCTCTTTCTAAAAATGTCAACAAGAGATAGCTGGGTAAAAAAAGTCGTGGAATTTTTTCTCCCTTTATTTTGTCCTTTGTATTATTGTTTTTGTTCAGTCGCTAAGTCGTGTCTGACTCTTTGCAACCCCATAGACTGCAGCACGCCAGGCTTCCCTGTCCTTCACTATCTCCTGGAGTTTGCTCAAATTCATGTCCATTGAGTCAGTGATGCTATCTAACCACCTCATCCTCTGTCTGCCCCCTTCTCCTTCTGCCTTCATTTTTTCCCCAGCATCAGGGTCTTTTCCAGTGAACTGACTCTTTGCATCAGGTGTCCAAAGTATTGGCACTTCAGCATCAGTACTTCCAATGAATATTTAGGGTTGATTTCCTTTAGGATTGACTGGTTTGATCTCCTTGTAGTCCAAGGGGCTCTCAAGAGTCTTCTCCAGTACCACAATTCAAAAGCATCAATGTCCTTTGTACATTCACCCTAAATGTTTCTTCTGCTTCCCTAACCAGTGATCTAGATCACCCTCTCATAATTCAGTACGGTTGACCCTCTGTATGCAGGCTTCACATTCACAGATAAGGAGGGCCAGCTATATTCATATATTTTGCTATTTTATATAAGGGACTTGAGTTCATCCAAGCATTCTGGCATCTGTGAGGGATCCTGGAACCACTTCCCTGCAGATCTGAGGGACAACTATATTCCCTCAGCATACTTATGTCTATATTTTCTTTCTTTTTTAAAAAAATATATTCTTTTTTTTGGCTGTGCTGGGTGTTAGTTGCAGCATGTGGGATCTAGTTCCCCGACCAGGGATTGAACCTGGTCTCCCTGTATTGGGAGTGCAGAGTCTTAACTGCTGGATCACAAGGGAAGTCCCTAAATGTCTATATTTTCTAATTAGACTGAAAACCTCTGAGACTCTTAATATATTCCTTCGTATCCACACAATATCCAGGACAGAACAATCCAGTAAATGAATGATTAGTCTATGATTAGACTCACATACTACTCGGCATGCTCTGACAGTATTTTGCTGGTTTTCAAGCATATAATGAACAAGGCTTTTGTCTACTAGTTTAACACTTCATACCTGATACATCAAACTTGGCCTTTTGCAGAGAATCAAAGATGTCATTTCTGCTGGGCAGATCTGGGAAGAGGGCCTCTAGTTTTTCTACATAGTGGTTGTCCTTGAGGGTTGCCTTTCCAATTTTAAGGTCCATGTTCACACAGTCCAGGATGATTGTTCCTGCAGAGAAGGAGCATGGCAGAACTCAAATCCTGTGGCCCTCCATTCCTGGCAACTAGAGCACACATTACCTTCAAACCCAATGGACACAATACCTAAGGAGACTGTATGGCAACTCACAGGAAACAAAACAAACTGGGACAATGTCCTGAGTGAGACATCCCAAATCCAAACTGAAATGTAGGTACAGAAATGGGGAAAAGGTAGAAAGGAAGTGTGAGTATCTCAATTCCTGGAGATTTTGAAACCTAGTCAGAGAGAGATGACCTCTCTTCTGTAGGCCAAATTCCAGTTGGAAGAGATAGTTGAATCCAATTCTCTTTTTCTTTTTTTTTTTAACAAATGGAGAAAATAAGAACAAAAAAGGTTAAGAGATTTGTTCAAGGTCATATAACTACTTCCTGAGCAGAAATGGTATTAGAATTCATTTCCTGCTTCTTTGGCTAGTTCTCCTTTCATTATACAATGCTACTAATAGGCAGCTTCTAGGTCTGTTGTTTGATGCTTCCTTTCCGCTCTCTCCAAAATATTCCCCAGGCCTTCAAAGGACAAAGTACTCGAAAGCCTTTATAATGCCTAATTGCTCCTTGAAAGAACCTCCTCCGTTATGGACTAAGTGGCTTTGAGAGGGTATGGTCAGACTGGAAAACTCTAGACTTCTTCACTTTCCCTCCTCTGGGATGGGATACAGGGTCAGGTCCCAACCCCCAAGCCACCCTCACCATGAAGCAGGGCTGCAGTTTGCCTGTCCAAGATCTCTGGTGCCCCCTGCAGGATTCTCTCAGCCACCAGGGTAGCGCAGGACCCCACCAGCTCAACTGAAACATGGCAGGGAGGGCAGTGTTTTTGATCGATGGGCCGATGGTCTAGCACCTCTGCCACTGCCTCCTCTAGGGCTGCGTCACTTCTGTGTGGGAAAGGGGGGGTGTGGGGGAAAGAGAAAGAGAGATAGGTAGGGGCACTCCAGCTGTACCTCCTCATGAAGAAAAGACAGACATCTTAGGCCAACACTTAGATCCTTGATCACTTCCACCTTTGCCCCACTCCTCTCAATTCTCTTCTCAAATACTATAACTGAGGCCGTCTTTAAATACTGCATAAGTGAATTTGACAAAGCATCAGCTACCCGTATCTCATCCACATATTTGATGTGCCTTTCCAGTCGACACCTGGACACCCAACATCTAAATCTCTCCTGTTTCCTCAATTCACTTAATGTCCAAATTTCATGCAGCTCACAGGATCCTATGGCTTCTGGCTCAATTCCCATCCATTCCCTTCTCTCAACCCTCTGCTACTGCCTTATTCTAGGCCCTCAATATCTCTCATCTGAACTATTCCAATAGTTCCCTAACCAAACCCTTGCTTTCAGGGTCCTCCTCAACTGTCCTCCACAAGGTTACCTACAAGATCATTTGAAAAATGCAAATTTGGTTCTGCTAAGACCTGGAATAAAGAGAATTGACAATAGCTCCCCGCTGCTCTAAAATAAAATCTAATCTGGAAGGGCCTACAAGGTCTCCATGATCAGGCCCCTGCCTACCTCTCTAATCATCTTTTTTATGTCCTGCTTCTCCCTCACAGTTTATGTTCCAGTCATGCAAAACAAACCCCAGTTCTCCCAAGTCACCGTACTATTTCATGCCTGCCTGCATTTTGCTTATCTTAATGTTCATTACTCTGCCTGGATACTTTTCCTAATTACCTCACATCCTCATACACCAAGCAAATACTGAGTCTTTCAAGACTGAGATCAAGGATCCACTCTGTCAGAAAAACTCTCCTGACATCCTCCACTCCCCACTTGTATATTTAACCACTCCATCTTCCATGCACCTGTTGTTCCCTAAATGACAGTTACCACTTACCTCTAACACCCATTACAATGACCCGTTAGTCTAGTTCCCTCCTCTGACTGACAACTCCTTGAGAACAGACTCCACTTCACCTTCATCCTCTAAACAGTTTATTAATGAGTGAGTGGATAGATGGACTAGTGCCCGAAGGCTGTCCTCTATCAGTAACCCTGCTATAACCAGTGTGCTCAAGGAAAAAAATGTACATATTAGCATTAGCAGGAGCCAGACACTTGGAAAGATCAATATTCGTATTGCCTTGTTGGTCAGTTTTTTCCAATCCTAAATTAGGGATGGAATTATTATAGGTGTGTACATTTGTTAACTAGCACTAATGAGATACTGCTTTATGAAGGAAATGATTTTGCTAATTTTTTAAAAATACAGTTGTAACCATTATTCAAAGGTTTCTATTACAATAAATCTGCCATGAAATCTTAAAACAATGACACCAAAGGTAGATCTAAATTGTTTCTGAGTTATCCTTTAGTTTGAACTCTTCATGTTTCTATTTATTTTTATTACTTGTATAATTAGAGAAATGACAATATTTTTTACTGCTTTTCTATATCTGGTATCACCCATCAATTATGATTAGCCCATGAGATCCCTGAGAGCAAACATTCTTCTTCTCTTTGAAAATCTTACTCATCACAGCCCATGGCACATGATAAGTATCAGCTTTATTTCTTCCACTTACCTGGGTAAGACATGATGGTCAACAAGGATGAGGGTGAGCTGGCCAGCCTGGTGCAGTGCATGGAGGTCAATCTCATCGCGGAAAATCAAGAGGGACTCTGGAATGTGAATCTTCTGAAGGAAGAAGACATTGTCTCCTCGTAGAGGTAGCTCTGAACGTTTTATATTTAAAACTGGCACAAAGACTTCCTCGGCCTCAGTTGTCTGGATAGGAAAGTGAAAACAAGGTCTGGCTGTATTATGTGATAGGACAGGAAAAGTCACAAGACCACTGGAACCAAGGGAGACATGATCTTGGGGAAGTTACTGCCTTCCTCAAAGCTGCAGTTTTCCAGTCTGATCAAAATAAAAGGATGACCCTTGCCCTCTTTCCTTCTTAGCAATAACCTGAAGGTCAACAAGACAACTCATGGAAAAGGTCTAGTGCCAGATGCTGCAGAGAAGAGACTATCAGTCCTCCAGAGCCGACAAGGGCATGAGGAATATACACAGACCACTGACACTCACTGTTGTTCAGTCGCTAAGCTGGGTCTGACTCTTTGCAACCCCATGGACTGTATAGCACACCAGGCTTCCCTGTCTCCACTATCTCCCAGAGTTTGCTCAAATTCATGTTCACTGAGTCAATGATAACTCAGTAACTGACTGTGTGAATATTGCTTTATGGTTTACAAATTCTCCAAAATACATCTGCTCATTTGACCCTCACAGCAACACTGCAAAGTATCATTTCAGATTGTATAGTTACTGATATGAGACTCAGCAAAGTTAAGGGATCTGAGTTACCTAAGGCAAAACGCTATCAAACAGCAGAGCTGGGTTTTGAATCCAAATCTTTTCATTCTAAGGGACTCTGTTCTTAGGTACTCACCTTTGCCAGGTAAAAAGCCAGGGCAAGGGCTGACACCATGGAGTCCAAGTCACAAGCTTCATTTCCCAGCACAACATGTATGGGTCGGGACTCCTAGAGAGGTGGGAGAATGGGATTAACAAAAGCATCCTCTAATCATTTCCATTTATCTAATACACATGTAGGGCTGCACACACATCCTCTCACTGACCTTCATAGAGGAGGTAGGTCAGATATTCTTATGGGTCCTCATTTCATGGATAAGGATATTAGCTAAAAGGGCATATGTGTTTTGGCCAAGCTTTAAGCATTCCAAATGTGTCTACTTAGTGGAAACGTACTCCCTCCTCTCTACCACACTGTCTCCTTGAATGTTAACTTTCAGAAGAGCAGTAAATAACTCTCTGATTCTTATGCTCCTTGGGACACTCAAGGAGTAGACAAAGGCACAGCATCTGGGGTCGCCGGTGTACTCAAACCATATCAACTCTGGTTTGTACTTTTTTCCTGTTTTCAAACAGGGAAAAGAATCCTTGTACTTCTAAATGAGAACAGGTGAACAGACTTTGAAAATACAAGTAAAAATAAGATCAAGTCCCTTAGCCAGATACCTAGTCCATGAAATTCCCCCTACTCAGGGGAGTGTCAATGATAGCCAGATTAACCAACACTCTCACACCCAAGAAACTGATACTTTCTCCAACGGGTTCAGATTAAAACAAAAACAATTGCTGCTGCTGGAACTTTTATTTTTAAAGCTTTGAAAATCCAGCTGCTGATAAGAACTCTGAAGAGGGAGGCACATCTGTTGCTATTATTAACCTTGTTACTTTGCATCTCCCTATCAGACTTTAAATAAAATACACTAAAACCTACAGGTGCCCAAAATAGCAAAGATGCATTTGGCCAGGTGGAATGAGACCATACAGTCCATGGCTCGGCTTAGGCACAAGGATTCTCTCTTACCAGTTTACTTTTGAATTTCTATCTCAGCTTACTTCTGAGAGAGAGGAAGGAATATGAGAGATATACCAGCTTCTTAATTTCAGCACTACTGGCCTTTTGAACTGCACAATTCTTGGCTGCAGGGGCTGTCCTCCTGTGCATTGTCAGATGTTTGGCAGCACCCCCAAACTCCACCTCCAGTCATGACAGTCAAAATGTCTCCAGATTTGCCAAATACTCCACGCAGGGCAAAATCACCCCCAGTTGAGAACTGCTAGGTTACAGAAAAGTGAAAATCTACTCTGGCTTCTTCAGTCAGGGAAGATTTGCTAGACAGAAGAGTTTAGAGAAGTGAGGAAGCATTTAGAAGAGTAAAACATAACAAGTAACGCTTTATCAAGTAATATAACTTTCGGAAGAAAGAGAATCTAGGGGGACCGAGAATCAGCTTCCCTGTATTGACTGTTATCCACTCTCCTCACTTGCGCAGAAACCCAGAGCCAGAAAGGGACAATTTTAGAAGACTTCTGGTGGTAAAAACTGTCCTGTCTAGTAACTAGGTAAGTTTTTATTTTGAAACCACCCTCTTCTCCATCTTCCACTCCCCGCCCTAGTTGTTGTTCTTGTTTAGTTGCTAAGTCATGTCCAACTCTTGTGACTCCATGGACTGTAGCCCACCAGGCTCCTTTGGGATTTCCCAAGCAAGAATCCTGGAGTGAGCTGCCCTACAGAGAAGGACAAGAGGCAGAGGTTATCTGTCGAGGTTTTGTACAAACAGCTTCTGGGAAAGGGCTTCCCCGGTGGACTCAGCGGCAAAGAATCTGCCTGCAATTCGGGAGAGGCAGGAGACGTGGGTTCCAGTTCCTGGGTTGGGAAGATCCCACGGAGGAGGAAACGGCAACCTACTCCAGTATTCTTGCCTGGGAAAATCCCATGGACAGAGGAGCCTGGCAGGCTACAGTCCATGGGGTCCCAGAGACAGACACGACCGTGCAACTGAACACACACACACACCCAAGGTCACCTTTTTAAGTCTTTTACCTCTGGGGAAAGTCTGCCCTTAGGTTCTCCCTTGTGCCCATTTCTCTAAGCCTATTTCAAGGGTGTGGCAGCCAAGACCCATTCACACCGAAGAGCATGGGAGAGGGAAGATTCTTTTCAATATTAAACTCTTTGCCAACACAATATGAGAATTCTGTACCCAAGACCCGGGGCCCATAATAACTCCTCTGACTTGCAATTCGTCTTCCTGATACCAGAGAAGGCCCCTCTGTTTCCTGGATACCACGAATGGACCAGATGGCTGTGGACCAGTGACAGCAAAGCACTTGAGATAAGTGGCCGCGGAGATAACTCGCTCACAGAAGCAGAAAGGGAGGGCACTATGTTCTCCAGAGAGGGAACTACAAAGAGAGGCCACAGGGTCCCGACTCTGGAGAATAAAGGTGAGGAACAGAAGGAAGGCAGAGCAGGAGAGGTCTACTGCTGCGCTTGAAGAGGCCCTCAGAGAACCCTTCCAAAATTCACACTGGTGCTGCTCCCTCCAAGTGGCAGCTGAACTAGGCTCATTCAGATCCCCAGCACCAAGAGAAGGCTAAGCCCAAAGTAGGGACCAAATACAACGTCATGGCCCTGAGGGGAGGAGAAATGACCGCCAGAGGAAGGTGAATAACTAAGCCCTTGTGCTGAGCCAAGCTCAGATAGCAACCAAAAAGAATTCACACAAAAGGAATACTCTGGGACCGTCAGCAAATCTTGGGAGCAGGAGCAACCAGGGGAGGTGGAGGCATTCCTTCCCCCCGTCAGCACCCACCACTCCCCTAGCCTGACTGGTCCATTCACCGCCCACAAAACATGATGTGCACATTCCCAACTCTGCCCTTCGCACTGTTTGTTCTTCTCTGAGAGCAGCCGAACTGTCACTGGAAAAGACCACAGGCTGGGGTTGAATCCCAGCTCTGCTTCTTGTTGTAGGACTTTGGCCTCTCTAAGCTTCTTTTTCCTCATATAAAAATGGGGATACTACTGTAACCAATTTCATGAAGTTGTTATGAGGGTTAAATGAGATAGCACATAAGAGCCAACTCTGTCATAGTTCAGAGGAGTTTTCTTCCATGTTCTTTCTCCAGACCTTGCCGTCCTTACCCAAGCTCCCTCTCTCTGCAGATCTTCCCTGTACCCCGGCCACACCAATCTCTTCTACTTCCAGCTTCCTGTACTTGGGGTACAGAACTTAACTACTACTTAAGGAGCTCGCTATCTTTTCATGGGCATGTATCACAAATCCTTAACATAGCTTACAAATTAGGTGACTATATACTTTGCTGTTCAGACCAGGACTCTTTTGAAACGAAAAGGGCTTCAATTAATGATTATATTTCAATAAGCTATCCTGGGCAAGTCAGGTATATGAATGCCTAACTTACAAGGTACCATTCTCCTCTTCATTTAGGAAAAACATGTGTAACTCTTAACCCCCGTCCCATCCCCCACTAGCTGAAAGCACAAGCCAAACAGCCTCAGTTTTCTGACCATCAGAGGAAGAGTTCAGGGCAAATACAGCTATACTTAGAGTGTGAGGAAACCCGAGCTGCCAATGGAAGAAATACAATCTGAGAGCCAGGGGTAGATATAAACCTTTTTTTCCCTTCCTTTAAAAAACCCACTAGTTGAAATGACTGTATTCTGATGTTCTTTGTGGCCTCAACAGTGTGAGAGGGGATGGTTTTAGGGCTAGCACAGAAAACCACTTCCCTTCTGAGGCTGAATACGGTCTGAAGCTTACTCTATGAACTAGTTAATGAAGAAGGAAAAAAGGAGACAAGGAGTCAGAGATAGAGAAGCATTTCCGGCAAGGAAGATGGGACTGAGTGACGCAAGGACTGTAAATTTCTAAGGAGAATAAGCCACTCCTGATTTCTGCCTCATGACTGAGAAGTGCAGACAACACACATTATCCAAAGCTTCTGGATGAACACCTAACTAGAATGTGGCCCCACCCTGAAGCAAAGACCCCCCCCCCCACCCAACTAAAAGTGACAGATGACTTACCATGACTAGGACATTTAGTTAAATAAGATTTCTTTTAAATAGAACAATCTACTATCATTGTGGTAGCAGACTGTAGAAAATTTCACTGGTATCAAATGCTAAAAATATGGTATCAATAGGAAAGTTGGTTATCAGCTGTTTCTGTCTTATATAAAAGTCCAAGCATTCATGATTACCTAAAAGTTATACTGTATTTTAACAGCAACACTCAAACTTAATAGTGTCTCTGGGGACTTCCCTGGTGGTTCAGAGGCTAAGACTCCACACTCCCAATGCAGGGGGCCCAGGTTCCATTCCTGGTCAGGAAACTAGATTCCACAGTCTGCAACTAAAGATTTAGCATGCCACAATGAAGAAAGAAGATCCCGCATGCCACAACTAAGACCCGCCACAGCCAAACAAACAAATAAATAAAAATTAAAAAAAAAAAAACAAAAGGAAAGGACAGAGGAATGGAGAAAAAAGATGTGGTACATATATACAATGGGATATCAACCAGCCATTAAAAAGAATGAAATAATGCCATTTGCAGCAATACGGACAGGCCTAGAGAGTGTCATACTGAGTGAAGTCAGTCAGCAGAGAAGAACTATTGTATGACACCCCTTATTTGTGGAATCTAAAAAGTAATGATACAAATGAACTTACAAAATGGAAAGAGATTCACAGACTTAGAGAACAAACATGGTTGCCAGGGAGAACGGATTAATTAGGAAGTTTGGGATGGTCATGTATACAACGCTGTATTTAACAAGGTTAAGTAGGTCCTGTGTACAAGGACCTACTGTATAGTATGTGGAACTCTGCTCAATGATATGTGGCAACCTGGATTGGCAGGGAGTTTGGGAAAGAATGGATACCTATGTATGTATGGTTGAAACCCTTTGTTTGTTCACCTGAAACCATCATAACACTGTTAATCTGCTATACCCCAATACAATAAAAAGTTAAAAGAAATAGTTTCTGTCTAAATCATGTCTTTCTTTAGATAAGAAACAACAGTGTGGCCTCTGGGAAATTGGATATGGAGAAGAAAAAGATCTTTCTCATTTTCTTTTCTTTTTTCATATTCAGGTCATACTTTATTATTCTGGCTTTGAAATAATTATGACAATACTCGGCAAAGTCCTAGGCAGTTCAAGTTACAAGACTGTCTCCCCAGAGTTACTGAATAAATCACTTGCATGGAGCATCCAGGTTTTTTCCAATATAAAATAAAAGCCTATGTAGCTGTTAGGCTCTGATAAATGCTTTCAAGTGAAAGTGAAGTTGCTCAGTCGTGTTGGACCCTTTGCAACCCCGTGGACTGTAGCCCACCAGGCTCCTCTGTCCATGGGATTCTCCAGGCAAGAATACTGGAGTGGGTTGCCATTCCCTTCTCCATCTTTCTCATTTTCTAATTGTATATCTTTTTTGTATTAACTTTTTTTCACTATGTACATTCTCTACTTCCATAATTAAAAAAAATCTAAATCATTGGGTGTCCACCTGTATGTCCTACTACCAGGACACCCACTAACATCGCTAGTCTAACTTTCTAATTTAGGTCGTGTGATAGGAGCTCTAAGATATGATCTCTCCTTCACAAGTTTGGAAAGAGGAAGATCTAGATCCTGTTCCCTGGGGGAATGAATTCAGGCAGAGAAAGGTCAGGATATCAGTAATACTGAAAAAATTCAGTGTTTTTCAGCTTCATATTCCTGAGGAAGACATACTCTTAACCTGGGACACTTCTGGAGAGTAGACACTGTAGAATAGATGAATGCAATGAAATGCCATCTGGCAAGGTTTCAGGTTCAAAGACTCTTTATCAAATGGTGAAAAAGACTGGTTATTTGGGTCATTAGGGAAAAATCCAACTTCTTGGCCCTTGAAATGGTGCCAAAAAGCCTCTATATTAGTCTTTAATGAGTTCCCTATGGTGGAAATCAGAGGTAACCAAAATGAATTGGTCCCAGATTGTGTTATACATTAAAATGACCTTCCCAAATTTGTATTTCACAAGGAAAAATTTGGTGTAATTGGTTTTACACTAATTGAACTTCACTCCTATTCTTCTTTTGTTTTCAGCCATGCCACACGACACATGGGATCTTATTTCCCCGACTAGGGATCAAAACTGCACCCCCTGCATTGGAAGGGCAGTCTTCTGGACTGCCAGGGAAGTCCAGCACTTCACTCCCATTCTTCAGGTGAGGACATTCCTTTATGACAGCAGCTGATTCTGCAGGAGGAATTAGGTGACTTTTAGGATTTGTTATAGACCAGAATCTTATTTCCCAGGGAAGTCTGTCGAGTTTAAGATACTTTAAAAGGAGGCAGAGTTAACCATCTGTCAAGGTTTCTCTAAGGGTAGTATAACTTGAAGTAGGGGGGCCAGGTGACCTCCTGGAGCCTCTCCGGCCCGCTGTTTGCTGCTAACTGGGAATAGCAACCTAACGTTGCACGACCAGTCAGCAAGGCTGGAAGATTCCAACTGGCTCAGAGAGCACCAAAAATAAGCCACAAAGCATTCAGGAGTCATGCATATAGTTTTGATTCCAAACATACTTTGTGCTGATCCCCATCCAGGTCGCGGATTTTTATGTGATTTGTGTGTGTTAAAGACAAGGAAGCAAACTGGAGGCAAAGGATGCAAGGATGTGGATCGACAAACATGCCTGATGCACTGTGTGCGTTCACCTTAAAACCAGATTTAAAGTGTAACACCATGACCACCTGTAATTCAGAAGGAGTTAGGCCCGTCAGACAAAAACCGCCGTTCAGAGGCAACAAAGCCGTGGGCACAGCTTCCCTCGTACCCCCGGGGTTCACCTGGAAGCCAGGGCGCCAGGAAGGCCTCGTGAACGGAGAACTGAAAGAGGGGCGGGGAAAAGGGAACAAATACACCTCGCGGCCGGCACAGCCCGGGACCCACTGACGGAACTAACCCGACGACACCGAGCAGCGGCTCAGACGCAGGACCCGGCCCCACCAATCCGCCTCCCCGCTCTCGAGCAGACCCCAAAGGCTGGAGCCCCTAAGTGAGCATGCATTCCCACTCTCAAAGGCTAGGTTCTCCTTCCTCCCTCCTCAGGTTTCCAAGCCCCCACCCCACAATTCCGCGTTCCCTCCACACAAACCCTCGGTACTCCCCACATCCCACATCTTCGTCCTTCCTGGACCCCAAGATCCATTCCTTACGATCACAGACAGGGGTCCCTTACCTGCAGAGCAGCTCGACAACCCTGCAGGTAGTTCTCCATGGTGAAGCCCAACGTGTGCCGCCGCCCCTCGCCGCGGAGAGGTTAACCGGCGAATGCGCCCCGCCCCGGACTCAGGGGCTTGCGGCGAGTCGGGAGGCGGGACTCGAACCCGCCACACGGAGATTCACCCCCGGGAGGAAGTGCGTAACCGGGCGCCCCGGGAGTCCGACGTTGCCCCGCCCCCAGGGGCGGAGGCCAAGTTCTGTGCCCAGAGACTCACGGGAGGCGCGAAGTGGGGAGTGGTGCGGGGGCATCCTGGGAAATGTAGTCCCGCTGCTCCGCTATGGCCCCCAAGAATTGCGGGAAGGAGAATTATCTGCGTTCACAAGTGTGTATGTGTCATATAATCTATCTTTGTGGCTTCTGAACTTTCCCTCTTGAGTCAGGCTAAGTATAGCGTCTTTCCATAAATTATATCGACCACCTGGTTGACATCTAAAATTCCACTGGGCAAAAACAACTTCGTCTTTCTTGAATTCTCTTCCTTACCAAACTGACCCATTATGTGGTCTTCCTTGTTATAAAAAATTTTTAATAATCTCTGACCTCTCTTCTTTACTTAATACCGATAGTCTCTTGCCAACTCCTGCTGCTTCTTTTACAACTCTGTAGCCATTTGGCAAATGTCTCATTCTTCCCCGGTCTGTTGTAACCTGGAATCTATACGCCCTGCCTCCCCAGTTGTTCCAACTCCCCTTTCAGCCTGCAGAGTTGCTTGAAGTTTCATCCTGCCGTAGCCCTGTGAGTAGAGCTTGGGAGGCCTTTCAGAATGTAGAGTTGGGTTCCAACCTCCTTTAACTGCCATCTTCCAGCCCCAGAGGAGTGCAGAGTACTGCATGTAAATGTACTCTCACCATCAAAGGTTCCCTCCGTCCCTTTTTTTTTTTTCCTGCAGCCAGCCTCACACCAGTTTTTCCTCCTCATCAAGCTAGGAATTGAGGGGAAGTGATGGATGAGAAGCTGAGGCCTGTGGGGGTAACAAGGACCAGAGCACAGGGGTATGGAATCCCTTGCTTGCTCAGCTAGTTTTCTGCTTGCTGCACTCGCTGCTTCTTCCGCACCTTCTGCATTACCAGGGTGCAGCCCCACCGGTTTCATTTCTTAACTAAAAAAAAAAGAAAAAATGATACAGTAAGGGCTTCGAAAGGATCAGGATTTTTTTCACTTTAAATGAATAAATATGAAAATATCAGGCTCTTTGGCCCTGTTTTTGGGAGGCAGGGCAGAGGACTGCCGCACCCAGGGAGATCCAGAAAGCTTCTGTCCAGCCCTGCTCCTCCCAGCTCAGCCAGGGCCCTTGCTCTTCCCTGTTCTCACCAGAGAGGCACAAGTGCTCCATCCCTTCCAGCGGCAGGCGGAGAGAAGAGAAAGGGTCTGTTGTTTTTCTCTCCTTGTTTCTCTCCCTCACTGCTGATCACCAAGCTGCTGACCAGGTCAGAAAGCCCGAATGGAAATCCGCCAGTGCCGGGCAGGCTCCTCCTCCTTCGGGAAGCTTGTCCTTGACTGATTTTTCTTTGTCCCGATGGGGGAAAAAAGAGAGAGAGAGAAAGAACAAAAAAGAAAAACCACAAACTTCCTTTGAAAACCAGCGCTTGTAGACGGGGCCTGGAGCGCGCGCCCTAAACTCGGCGACTCAGATCCTGAAGACGCTCTGAGCGATCTGGGCGCACCTGGGCTGCACCCCTGCCTGGCTGCACCCTTCTCCAGGGCCCCCCGGTCGTGGGCGTGAGCCCGGAAGTAGCCACGAGCCAGCCGGGACCGCCGCTCGTAAACCTGGGTAAACCTGTGTAGACTCTGGCGTTGACAGCTGGGAGGCAGCCGGGACTGGCGGCGCCCCTCTCAGCCCTCCTCCCTCACCGCAGTCCCGGAGTGGAACCCTCCTAAGTCCTGGAACAGCCCCCACTTCTTTAAGGTAAAAACTGTCTTAACCATTTCCTTCAGCTTTTTCCTTTCCCTCTCTGGCTTTGGGGAGGTGACCCTGCCTATCCTCCCACCCTGGGTCTCTGTAAGTCTGGATCTCTAGAGGCGCTCAGGCAGGAGTAAGGAAAAGAGATGCTACCTTTCCCCCTTTTAATTACACCTTCCCCCTCTCCCTTGCTAACAAGTAGACAGGGCACTGTGGCGGACTTACTCTGAGGGGAAAATCTAAACCATTAGTTGCATGAAGATTTGGGTCAGAGTGAGAGGGAGATTGGGATGGAACCCTACGCACTTGAAGGGAGAGTAAAGTTCCTGGGGAGCAGGGGTGGCGGGGGGGAAGTGTCTTCTTGAAGCTACAGACCTGATTCCTGAGATTCTTCCAACTTCTGGCTATTTATTGCTACTGGCTAGGGAGGGGCAAGGGCTGTTTTACCCCCCCAACACACACACCCCCCCCCCGCCGCCGCCCTGTCCGCCCCGTCCGCCACCAGAGGATGATTCCAGAAAGTGTAGGATTTAGTTAAGAGGGAAGGAATGAATTCCTTGTTTAAGTACCTGTTAGTCTCAGAATGCATTCTGCTCTCAAGTACTCCATGCCCACTCCACCAGGTGTGGACCCTGTAGCCTGGAACTCTTCCAATTACTCTTCCTTCCCCTCTTCTGAAGGATTAGCCCATTTAGCTTTCCACCCAGTTTCTCTGAGACCCAGCTTCCTCTGGTAGTCCAGTTCTGGGTTCTTTTGGTTCACGGGACTGCCCAACCCCCACTTAATTATAGACCATTTCTGGCATTTGGATAGAAAAGATAAGAAGTAAGCCCTGTTTTTCTCCAAGCTTTTAAAAAATTGTCCCAGGCTCTGCTTTCTGCTTCTGAGGCTCATCCTAAATGACATTTGGGAAGGAAGGAAAAAAGGAGAGAGACTAAAAAAAAAAGTGTAAGGCCTGTGGGCAAATTTTGCTACTCTGATTCTAAATTAATCATATGGAAATGAGATGCAGCTAGCATAGATTATATTTGAATCAGAAGGGTGATCCATTTGGGTGACTAGTCTTATTTCCATGACTTTTACTCAACTTCACTTCCGAGGCTTTACCTTAGCTCTAAATTCCTGATTTACCTGATTGCGAAAGGAAGCATAGTCTCAGGTTAGGAGGAAGCAAGAGAAAAGGTTTCTAACAAGTTTATTCCTCTGCCTTTCTCACCCTGACCAAGGTGGAGAGGGGAGCAAGGAGGTTGAAGGGAGATATTTTCCAGGAGGCAGGGTTTGTGGCTTTTTATCATCTACTATCCATAGTGTTAATTAAATGTCTATGCTTAGTGCTGGGAGAGAGCAGGTTAAACAGGTCCTGAGCTGACATTTAAAATGACCTAGATGGGAATAGATTGAAAGAACATTTGCACAGATAGATGAATGTAGAGGGAGTAACTTTTTAAAATGTAAATCAATAATCAGTGTTTTCATATTCCATGTAGCGAGCAAGGGAGTACGGGGTTTGAGCAGTTTTCAGAGCATAGCGGAATTGAGGAGAAGTTGCTATCCCAACTCCAGCTGGCATGAGAAGCTTACTGGAAGAATGGGGCTGGGGGTGGGGTGGGACAAGTTGTACCTTTAATCTGAAATTACTTATCAGAACCCATCTCTGTTTCAAGTCCCCAAGCCTGCATTTCCCCTCACCAGCCTACAGGAAGCTCCTCCCAGGACCTTTTTGTTGTGGTTTGCAATTGTGTAAAGCTGGAATTCTAAAGGTGGAGTCCTTCAAGGAGAAAGACTTCTTTCTCACCAGTGTTTCCCCTTTAGGGGTATGATACTGACTCTTTTTCTTCACCCCAAGCACTGTTTAGCTCTTTGGCCTTGGGATGAAGCAGAGAAAACAGGGCCCTAAAGATAGATATAAGCCATGTGTGCTCCGGATGTTCCCTGAAGAGTCAAGAGCAGGGGTGGGGGATGGGGCAGAGGATTCACCCTCATTCCAGCTACGGTGGGTTTTACTGACAGGATGCTTATTTCAAGGTTAGCCACAGAGCACTGTATTTAGATCACTGTCAGTACTGTGTAAACATTTCTTTCTCCATCTCTTTTCCTTCTTTCTCCTTTTGTTCTCCCTTTCTGTCTTGTCTTCATTCCTTGTCATTCTGGAAATGACATTCCTTGTCATTTCTGTTTCAGGAAAGCTGACGCTACCCAATGTCTTCAATCCCACCAGAGTTATCCCTTCCAAACCTTCGAGTCCTGTACCCTCTTTGGTCCCATCTGGTCACAGCAAGTTAGAGGTGACAGCTCAACCTGGGGCCCTTCTATTTAACCGAAAACTGTACTGCCCATAGCCTGGAGTGGCTGAACAGACGCTCACCAAGCCTTCCGCACTACATTCCTTTTCCAAGATTTTTCTGGGTCTATTTACTTTTCAGCCCAATGGTTTCCTTCTTATTGGATCCGTCTCCCTTTTGCATATCAAGCTTAGAGTAAGGCCCGTCTCTGAGGACAGTAAAGCCCTTTGGCACCCCTCAGTCGACACTTCCTGGCCATGGAACACCATCAACCTGAGCATCCAGCCCCTGGTGAGGCCAGGACTGCAGAAGCAGTCAGCCCTGAAAACCACAAGGTCTTGTCAGAACCCAAAGAGCACCCTCAGGCCAAGGATGCCGAAGAGGCGGACGGGGCAGCTGGAGAACAGGAGCCAGTAGAGCAAGCTTCACTGCCAGCCCAAGGCCAGGATAACTTCGAGTCCCCTCCACCAGATGCTAGCTCAAGCCAACCAGGGCCGTCCCAGGAGGCTCAACCTGAGATAGAGACAGTGGGGGCCTGCTCCAGGCTCCAGGAGCTTCCCCAGTCCCCCAGGGCCCGACAGCCTGAGCTAGACTTCTACTGTGTCAAGTGGATCCCCTGGAAAGGAGAACAAACACCTGTCATTACCCAGAGCACCAACGGCCCTTGCCCTCTCATCGCCATCATGAACATCCTTTTTCTTCAGTGGAAGGTAAGAGGGAATTTGGATGGGGTCTTAGAAAATCTTGGTCATTCTGCTTTTCTCAAACCTGTCAGACTTTCCAGGTTTTTCTTCCTTTTTCTCCAGGTTGAACAAATGAGATATTTGCAAAAACAAGGCAATTAAAAAAAAAAAAAGAAAACAAGACAATTATCTGTCCTATTCCTTCATCTTCTACTGTCTAGTAAATGGGAATGCCTTTGCAGTTTTTCACATTCATTCCCTTGCTCCAGTTGCAAGCCATTTCCCCCACCACACCTGACTACTGGATAACCCCTGCCCTCCTGCCTTTCTCTGGGCTCCTCCTTCAGTGTTCCAGGAAGGAAAGCACACACCTGGCTAACTTTTTTTAAAATTTATTCATTTTTGGCTGTGCTGTGTCTTTGTTCCTGCACACAGGCTTTCTCTAGCCGTGGCCGAGTCGGGGCTACTCCTTGTTGTGGTGCATGGGCTTAGTTGCCACATGACATGTGGAATATTCCCTGACCAGGGAGCAAACTTTGTCCCCTCCATTGGCAAGCAGATTCTTTACCAATGACTGGCCAACTGTTTGATCTCTCCTTGCCTCCAGGTAAAGCTGCCACCTCAGAAGGAAGTGATCACGTCAGACGAGCTCATGGCCCATCTTGGTGAGTGACTGGGCCTTCAAGAGGAATTACCCGAAAGGTTCCAGTGCTATCTACTGAGCCAGAAATCCAGAGTATTGAGGGACTCCTCATTTGGGGATCTATGTGGCAGGGAGGGTAAAGGTCTGTAGGGCTTTGCTGCGAGGCTGGGGAATAAAAGCAAAAGTCAAGGAGTCAGGAGTCCTGGGTCGTCATCCTCATTCTGCCCTTAGCTTTCACATGTGACCTTGAGTGGGTCCTTCACCTTTTGTGGCTTCTTTCTTCCTCTGAGAAAGGAAGGCCCTTTGCAACTCTGAAAATCTGTGGTTCTCTGATATTACCTCTGTTTTCTTGAAGAAGAGGAAGCAGCTTTTGGGACAGTGGTGGGGTAAGCTGATAAGGAATCCTGTCTTGTAGGAGACTGCCTTCTGTCCATCAAACCTCAGGAAAAGTCAGAGGGACTTCAGCTTAATTTTCAGCAGGTGAGGTGAAAGATCTGTGAACTGGGGGGTTGCAGGTTCATAAGGGGACACCCAGGCTGTTAAGAGAGGCTTTTCTGATACTTCTCAAGAGGGTTCTTTGAACCATCATTTCTTTCTGCAGGAGGGAGAGAGTGTATCTCTGTCTTAGAAAATATGTTCGTTTACATAAGATAAAGAAGGATTGAGAAAAGGGAGGACTTTCCATTGTAAGAGAAACCTGGGGGAAAAAGCAACAAGATTAATTTTTTTTTTTTTTCTGGAGGTAGGAGTGGAACAAGAAGAGGGAAGGCTAGAATATCCATCATTTTCTTTTTCCACCAGTTTTATTGATATATAATCGACATATAATACTGTGTAAGGTTTATTTTTTCATTTCATTTTATTTTTTTAATTGAAGTATAGTTGATTTACAATACTGTGTTAGTTTCAGGTATATAGTGTGGTGATTCAGTATTTTTTCAGATTAAATTCTATAATAAGTTATTATAAGATACTGGCTATCTTACAGTTAGATTGGCTGGGTATATGGGACTTCCCTGGTGGTTCAGTGATTAAGACTCTGTGCTTCCAATGCAGAGGGCATGGGTTCGATCCCTGATTGGGGAACTAAGATCCCACGTGCCTCACAGCCAATAAACAAGTAAATAAATTAAAAAAAAAAAAAAGATACTGGGTATAATTTCATTTGCTATACAGGATACCCTTGTTGCTTATCTGTAACACTAAGTTTATGCACAATGTGCTGATTTGACCTATCCATCATTTTCTTTTCCACCCCAGAATGTGGACGATGCAATGACAGTGCTGCCTAAGCTGGCCACAGGTCTGGATGTCAATGTGCGGTTCACAGGAGTCTCTGATTTTGAGTATACACCTGAGTGCAGTGTCTTTGACCTACTTGGCATACCGCTGTACCATGGCTGGCTTGTTGATCCACAGGTGAGGGTGGGAGGGCCCAAGTGAGCCTCAGCCAGCTCAAGCTGAGAGAGAAGCAAAATTTTGTGGGGTTGGGGTTAGGGAGGTAGGGAATAGATTGGCTAGGGAGGGGATTGGGGTCTCAAGGTTGGATTCAGTGTGGAATTCCTTTAGTTTTTAACTTTTGGGTGTAACATTCAAACACAAGCAAGCAATATGAGAATGGGTCAGTTCTTTAGACATCAAAAGTTTCAGGAAGCTTTTGTCATAGGGTTGCAATCCTTGTGGGCTTGGTTCATTTCCTTCCTAAAAAAAGCTCTCCATTTTGGGGGGTACCACCCCAACCCGCTGCTCATGCAGAGTCCTGAGGCTGTGAGTGCAGTCGGGAAGCTGAGTTACAACCAGCTGGTAGAGAAGATCATCACCTGCAAGCACTCCAGTGACACCAACCTGGTGACAGAAGGTGACATTCCTCCCTTCTCCTCAGCAATCTCATGTGGAGGGAACGATGGCTGCTGAGGCTTAGTGTTTATTGTCTGTTTTCCCACCACCACGTCCCATGAGAATGTAGGCACCATGAACGGGAGTTTGGGGAGTTGTCTGTTTCGTTCACTGATGTACCTCCTAACCGAGTGCAGCGCCTGGTTGCTCCATTAGCATCTGTTTGTTTATTTATTTGGCTGAGTCTTAGTTGTGACATGCGGGGTTTTTCTTTAGTGGCAGCATGGACTTCCCAGGTGGTTCAGTGGGTAAAGAATCTGCCTGTAGTGCAGGACATGCAAGAGACTCAAGTTCGATCCCTGGGTTGGGAAGATCCCCTGGAGGAAGGGCGTGGCAATCCACTCCAGTATTCTTGCCTGGAGAATCCCCATGGACAGAGGTGCCTGGTGGGCTGCAGTCCATAGGGTTGCACAGAGTAGGACATGAGTGAAGCGACTTAGCATGCGTGTACACCTGCGTCTTTCTCTCTCATTTTTTAAAAATAATTACTTATTTATCTGTGGAGGGTCTTAGTTGTGGCATGTGGGATCTAGTTCTCTGGCCTGGGCCCCCTGCATTGGGAGCATAGAGTCTTAGCCACTGGACCACCAGGGAAGTTCAGCATCTGTTGAATGGATGAATATAACCAGGCTTCAAGGAGGGAATGTCACAAGGTGGGACTGATCCCTAGGGCTTTGGTAGGGGCTCTCTGGATGATCCTACTGTGGACTTTGGATTTGAGTCCCCTGTCCCTCTTTTCCCGTCCTTGCTGCCAGGCCTGATTGCAGAGCAGTTCCTGGAGACCACTGCCGCACAGCTGACCTACCATGGTCTCTGTGAACTAACAACAGCTGCCAAGGAGGGCGAACTGAGCGTCTTTTTCCGGAACAACCACTTCAGCACTATGACTAAGCATAAGGTGATGAGGGTTTGGAGGTGGGAGGTTGGAGTGCTGTCTATTTCCTTGTGCCTGTTTCTTCTGGGTCAGTGTTTCAGTCAGGACAAGGTAGATTAAGCTGTAGTAACAAATGACCCCTAATGTCCCTGTGGTTTACCATGACAAAGGTTTATTTCTCATTCATGTTGCATGTCCACTGTGGGTTGGCTACAGTTCTGTCCCACATTATCTTCACTCTGCGGCCCTGGCTGACAAAACAGCCTTTATCTGGAACATAGGAGAGAGAGAGGGACACACCATGCGCAGTGTTGGTTCTGCTACCATCTCGCTGGCCAGAGCGAGACATAAGGAGTAAGCTTGCCATCAGTGGGCCAAGAGAGTGTACATCCTCTCCCAGGAAGGGGCAGTGGAAGTTTTGAACAATACTATAGTTTTCCAAGCCTTCCCTCGTGGCTTAGACTGTAAAGAATCTGCCTGTAGTGCAAGACACCCGGGTTTGATCCCTGGGTTGGGAAGATCCTCTGCAGAACAGAATGGCAGCCCATTCCTGTATTCTTGCCTAGAGAATTCCATGGAAAGAGGAGCCTGGTGGGCTACAGTCTGTGGGGTCGGAAAGAGTCGGACATGAGCGCGCGACTAACACACATATAGTTTTCTAAAGCTGGAAACTGTCTAAGCGTTCTAGGAATTGAGTAGAAGAGGGAAAGATCTTTGGTTCTTTTTTTTTTTTCTTGGTCTTGTTTGATCTCACAAGACCTCCAAAAATTTGTTGGTGAGATAAAGCTTCTTTCTTGGTTCTACTTCACTTAGTCTACACGGCAGTACCGGAGACTAAGCGCAAGCAGAAGCAAGAAAGAGCGTGCTGCCACAGATCTTTGGTTCTTAAAGGATTTATCCTCATAGGCATCCGTGAGCCCAGAGAACCTCGGGAAGTAGAATAGGAGGACTTCAGCCCCGAGGACTCCATGCTTAGTCGCAGTGACTGCCACGCTCACACTGACACGTTTCAGCTAGCACGCCGATCAGTCACATGGGCTCTGCGAATCTCAGATCACTTCTGGCCATGAACTGCGGCTCTTGCCCATCCCACCAGCGCATGTGTTCTCTTCCTCACAGGGTCACTTGTACCTTCTGGTCACTGACCAGGGCTTTCTGCAGGAGGAGCAAGTGGTGTGGGAGAGCCTGCACAATGTCGACGGAGACAGCTGTTTCTGTGACTCTGACTTTCACCTCAGTCACTCCCCGGGCAAGGGACCCGGATCGGAAGGTGGGAGTGGCTCCCCGGAAAAGCAGCGGCAGGTGGACCAGGTGTGTGGGGCCTTGGGGGTGGGCGTGGGGTGCAGAGAGCGTGCCCACCCCAGAGGGCTCTGTGCCCAAGGCGAGCAGCCTGTATCTTATCATCTGGAGACTGTAACTTATGACACCGGGCCCCTCTGTGGGCTCTGGGGACCATCTCTGCGCTTGGGGTGTGTTCTCTGGCATCACAGATAAAATACGCGGCTGTGTGTTTTGCTCTGGAGGAGAAGGAGCTGGGGGATTGGAAGGATAAGGAAAGGCTGAGCTGGTTTGGAAGCCTAAGCCCAGCCTGGCCTGCCCGCTGCCGCAGCCTCCCTCACTGCCCTTGTTCTTGCCCCTGTCTCTAGGACTACCTGATCGCCTTGTCCCTGCAGCAGCAGCAGCCCCCGCCCCAGGGCACGTCAGGTCTGAGCGACTTGGAACTGGCCCAGCAGCTTCAGCAAGAGGAGTACCAGCAGCACGCAGCGGCCCAGGCTGCCCCTGCCCGGGCCCCATCGCCGCAGGTGGGCCTGCTCCTCCTTGCCCTTGCTGCCGCCCCTCCAGCGTCCCCGCATCCCCAGCGTGTCACTCCACTCCGGCTTCTCCTGACCCAGACTTTTGTTATTCCCACCGGCACCTCTTCAAGGTTTCCCTCGGGGCCCTTCTGTCTGCCCCTCTCCCCTGGGTCCCCTCCTGTCTCTCTCTCTGCACAGCCCCTCCCAGTTCCGATCCCTGCTTCCATCTAGAGTCGCTGTCCTATGTTCTGCCATGGTCAATGGGTGACCAGCTGTTAAATCTGACACAGGGGAGAGGAGCCGCATCTGGACGCCCAGCTGCTGAGCGTCGGCAAAGGCCGAAGCAAGAGTCCGACTGTGTCCTCCTGTAGCCCTGCTCGGGCCCGGCTGCCTTGCCTCCCCTTTCAGAGGTGGGGGCTATTTGCTTGCTCCCCCAGCTCAACTTGAGATATGCAGGGTAACTTATTTATGGGATATTGGAGATCAGAGCAGGCAGTGAATGCTGAGGTCAGACTTGGTGACCTCTTTGCCCTCATGTGCTGCCGCCTTTTCCTCCCAACCGTCCAGGGCAACATTGGGCTTGATGGGGTGAGGATTTCTGATTTCTAACTCTTTCCCCCCAGAATAGTCACATTAATGTACAGACTCAGGCTCCAGGGTGAAGTCCCTGTCTAGAATCCATCTCCACTACTTCCCACCCCTGACTGGCTGGGTCATCCTACGGGCCCATCTGAATCCATCCATCCATCCATCCATTTGTTTCAGGGTTTGATTTGGGTTTCTTATCTGTATTATTTGTAATGCCTTCCTAGGGGTTTGGAAATAAAACTTCTTTCCTGAAGTCTGTTGTTTGCCTTACCCTGCAGCTATGTGGTTAAGTATTTGACCCAATTGAGGAATGCAAAGCGTGGTGGGGGTGGGGGTGGTGCGGGGATGGTAAAGAGGCTAGAGGGGGTGGCCTGTCATTTCTAGTAAAGCCAGCAGGGGGAGCCAAAAGTCTGCTTTTTCCTTTCTTTGTTTTTTTCATGTGGTTGTTGCTGTTAACCCACTCCAGTATACTTGCCTGGAGAATTCCATGGACAGAGAGCCGGGCTCTCTGTAGGTTTTGCACACCCTACAGTCCCTAGGGTCGCAAAGAGTCAGACACGACTGAAGCGACTTAACATGCACACATGTTGTTTAGTTGCTAAGTCATGTTCACCTCTTGCCACACTATAGACTGTAGCCTGCCAGGCTCCTCTGTCTGTGGGGATTCTCCAGGCAAGAATGCTGGAATGAGCTGCCATTTCCTTCTCCAGGGGACCTTCCTGACCCAGGGGTCTTTACCCACTGAGTCACCAGGGACACCCCTTCTTTTGGAGGTAGTACTCTAATTTGGGAGGTGGGTTGCTAAGCCCCAGCTTTGGACAGATGAATTTGAGGATTGTGTGCCCTGCTAACCCACCCAAATGTTCCCATTCAGGGAAAGGGTAGCTTGATCCTTTGCTTGCTTCTCAGGTCATACAGATGGTCCTTTGCTATTTCTAGCCATTTCTGGCCTCGTGGTTCCTGGTTCTGACTTATTTTGCCTGAAATTTCCTGGGGAAGAGAGAATAATGTGGGTGAGGGGGGAGGCAACGAGGAGGCAGGTTGTTGACAACTGCAGTTTATAGCCTCAAACAGGACTCCTGTTGAATATCCAAGTGCACATCAAAGGCACCTCCAACTTCAAGGCCTCCTCCCAACCGGTGTCCTGCTCCACCCAAACTTCAATCAGGGAACACAAATGACAGTGAAGTTTGCCAAAAGAAATCAAGCATCAGCGAGATGTTCTGGCCAGAATTCAGAAGAATGAATAGGACAGAAACTATCCAAGCGATCTCATTTTGCACACCCAGGACAGAGCTAGGGGACCCAGGTGCAGACATCACTTTGAGATGAGAGAAGTGAAGGAATTTAAAAGAAACTTTGAGTTCTGGCCTCAACAAGAAGCTGGAACATGTGGTGCTCAGTGAGGGGTTATCTTATTTTGAGGCCCAGCTGGTCTCCTGCAGGCTCAGCCAAACAAGAGAATCTCAGATCCTTGAACGTCATGCGGGGATGAGGTCTCAAAGGTCTTCCGCCCTGCACAGGGCTAGTAGGGCTGACCGGCAGCCCCCTTTCACTGCATCCTGCAGACAGGAAATTCATGTTAGAGAGACCTGCCACCATCATGGCTCAGCACTCTGTTCTCTCCCTCGTGCTGGTCCAGAGCTTGTTTGGTTTCTAGAGTTCTGTTCTAAATTAACCAGAGACCCAGGAGTTCTCCAGGCCATGAATATGCTCCACTGTGTGCAGGGTGGAGGTAAAGGATGAAGCTCTGGGGCTCAGGTTAAGAACCAGCCAAGTCTCACCTGGAGGGAGGAGTAGAGGGACTTCCCATATTTCTTTCTGAACTCGGCTCGGATACTTAGAAGATCAGTCTCACTTCGAGAAATAAGGATGCGCGTCAGTACTTGGTAATTGGGCTCAGTCTCCTGGTAGAGGAAAAAACAGAATGGGGTTGTGGTGGTAGGGAAATTCTCACAGGGCAGGGATTGGGCCACACAGTGGATTATTCTAGGGAGTGCTGATGAGGAAAGAGTCAAGGAAAAGAAAATATGCATTATCTAGGGGCAAACGTTATCTGTGTCCCTCCTCAAGGGAGACGATGTGGCAGGAAAAATCAGTTGCTGTGGGGAATATTTACAGGAATATCATTCATTCCTTCCACATCTTTCCTGGCCTTGCCATTAGCTTCGAGTCTCACTCCAAGAGCAGGGCCTCAAGAAAGGATAGAGATGTGCTACCTGTGAAGACTTACAGCATGATCGTCAAGAGACTGTTAACAGGAATGTCCGAGGAGGACACTCACCCTATCCCTAAACTGTCATCGGTTTCTCCTGGTTAGACCCGAGGTTCGGCATCATTCTGTTTCTCTTGTACCTGCAACAGGCCTCTTGCCTTTTGGTTAAAGACAGTAATGGAGGGTTCAGTTTAGAAATAATAGAGGTGTATGTGTGCTAAGTTGCTTCAGTAGAGTCTGACTGTGCAACCCTATAGACTGTAGCCTGCCAGGTTCTTCTGTCCATGGTGTTCTCCAGGCAAGAATACTGGAGTGGGGCACCATTTCTTTCTCCAGGGCAGGGGTCGAACCCACTGTCCCTTATGTCTCCTGCATTGGCAGGTGGGTTCTTTACCACTAGCGCCACCTGTGAAGTGAAAGTCGCTCAGTCGTGTCTGACTCTGCGACCCCATGGGACTATACAGTCCATGGAATTCTCCAGGCCAGAATACTGGAGTGGGTAGCCTTTCCCTTCTCCAGGGGATCTTCCCAATCCAGGGATCGAACCCAGATCTCCCACATTGCAGGCAAATTCTTTACCAGCTGAGCCACAAGGGAAGCCCAAGAATACTAGAGTGGGTAACTTATCCCTTCTACAGGACATCTTCCCGACCCAGGAATCGAACTGGAGTCTCCTGCATTACAGGCAGATTCTTTACCAACTGAGCTATCAGGGAAGCCCCAATAGAGGTACACCTGTGACCTGTGATGTTGCTCAGTTGAGTCCGACTCTTTGCGACCCCATGGACTGTAGCCTACCAGGCTCCTCAGTCCATGGAATTTTCCAGGCAAGAGTACTGGAGTGGGTTGCCATTTCCTTCTCCAGGGGATCTTCCCAACCCAGGGATCGAACCCAGGTCTCCCACACTCCAGGCAGATGCTTTACTGTCTGAGCCACCAGGGAAGAGATATCATCAAATCAGGAGCTATAACTGATTATAATAATGTTATCATGAGAGATTTCTAAATAAACTATTTTGGTTGCAAAAATCCCGTTTGTGTCATGAGCTGGGCACTGCTGCTGTCACCATTTTCTAATACCCTCTTTTTCAGAGTTTCCTCAAGCACCTGACTTCTGAGACCCTTCCCAGAATTGCCTGAAACCCACATTTATGGCAACCCTACAGATCATAAACTCCTGGAAGAAACAAATGATGAAGGGAATATAGGATGCTGTATTTTATTTGGACTCATTACCTAATTGTCAGTGGGCCTGATGGCTCCTTTTTTTTACACTTTTAATTTAATCTGATAAGTTTTTTTGCTGCACAGCTTGTGGGGTTCCATTTCCCGACCAGGGATCAGCAGTCAGAGTGCGGAGTCCTAACAACCGGGCTGCCAGGGAATTCCCTGATGGCTACTGTTTTGAATGGCACGTACAGTTGGTTTTGTATTGTGGTGAAGATTGCTGAATGCTTCCCAGTATCCCTTCTTCCCTTCTTGCAACTCTTGTACTCCACAGTTGTAGAACTGGGGTAAGAGTTGCTCACTAAGTGAATATTCCCAGGATGTAAAGTGGCTCTCTACATTAAACCTGTATCAAACATCATTCTTCTCTTGTTACTTGAGAGTATATTTGGCATCTCATACTGCCCTAGGATCTTTAGAAAGAACATTCATTTTATGGTTCAAATTGGTCTGAATTTGGACTGCAAGGAGATCCAATCAGTCCATCCTAATGGAAATCAGTCCTGAATATTCATTGGAAGGACTGATGTTGAAGCTGAAACTCCAATACTTTGATCACCTGATATGAAGAACTAACTCATTTGAAAAGACCCTGATGCTGAGAAAGATTGAGGGCAGGAGAAGGGGACGACAGAGGATGAGATGGTTGGATGGCATCACCGACTCAATGGAAATGAGTTTGGGTAAACTCCGGGAGTTGGTGATGAACAGGGAAGCCTGGCGTGCTGCAGTCCATGGGTCTTAAAGAGTCGGACACGACTGAGAGACTGAATTGAACTGAACTGTCCTGAATCAGCCATCACTTAAAGGTCATTTTTCTGAATAAATATTTATCACAATTATGTTTTTACATATCTCCCATAAAAGAATAGTATGGAAGTGTCTTGACTGAGTTTTTTTTTTTTTTTTTTTAAATAAGCCTGTATCACTTCTTGACTCCTTCTAATATTAAACCCACAATTTATATCCAGGAGTCTAAAGTCCTGTAATCCAAATACATTACAATCACTGCTGGAGTACAGGTTTGTTTTTATGACAGGAATTTAGATAACCACAACTTTTCAAGTGAATCCTAGTGTTCACTCATTATAATAGTACAGAATTTATTGGATAAATACAAAAATCTACTGTCAAAATGGAAATCTCTGGAAGATAAAGTAAATGCTTCTAGATGCTTCCCTGATGGCTCAGTGGTAAAGAATCTGCCTGCCAATGCAGGAGACATGGGTTCAATCCCTGGTCCAGGATGATCCCACATACCATGGAGCAACTAAAACTCGTACACCACAACTACTGACCCGAGCTGGAGAGCCCAAGAGCTGCAACTGCTGAAGCCCGAGGGCCCTAGAGTCTGTGCTCTGGAGCAAGAGAAGCTGCCGCAATGAGAAGCCCACGCACTACAGCGAAGAGGAGACTCCACTCACAGCGACTACAGAAAGCCCTCACAGCCATGAAAGCCCAGCATGACCATAAATCAATAAATAAAAAGAAAATGTTTTAAGAAAGTTTCTATGTAACATATTGAATAGTTGTCAATAGGCATCATGGTTTCTCAACCAGTATACAAAAAACCATTCTATCTTCAAAGTTTGGGTGGGATTTTTATTGATAGGTCTTGGGGGACAGTTGTACTAGGACACCTAGTTGAATGAGCAGAATGACTGGATTCTGTTTATGAAATCACTCAAACCAAGATTGCCAATTTAAGTTTGGATTATATAGAACAAAGTCTGACCAGTATGGAGAAAGGTGATCTTGGGTACCAAGAGTAGGCTATAGCTTATAGTATAGACCAACACCTATGGAATAGACTAGGAGTTGACATGTGGCAGTTAAATGCCCTATAGGATCATTATGTGTATTGTATTGTGTATGTGTATCATTATGTGTATAGGATCATTATGTGTATTGATCATTATGTGTATGTGTCTATATTGCACATATCATTATGTGTGCTGTGTGAACTTGGGCAAGGTATTTAAGTTCTCTGAGCTTCAGTTTTTTCGTCTATAAACAAGGATGGAGTGTTAATGTGAGGACTTACTGAAATGTGCTCAGCTGAGGCCCTGGCACACAAGGAGCCCCTCAGAAATGGGCGGCTCTTTCATTCTTCTTTCCAGTGTTATCACCACCCTCATTCTGGCAACAACTGAAGCTGGACAAGGCAGTGTCTTTACAGAGCAAATTCATATCTGTATTTGGCCACCTAGACATTCTTTAGGCCAAAAATTTTAGCTTTAGGGCCCTGATGGGTCAATGGACTTATCTCTAACCACAGCTCTCTCCTCTACTCTTGACAAGACAATTTGTAAACTTAGGAAAAGAGAGCTACTCCATGTTTACAAAGTAATATGAGATGGTTACACTAGCAACAGCATGAAACTTCCTCTCTCTTGCCCAAGAGGTGTCTCCCGCCGGTTTTTGTTCCAAAGCAAGGAGAAAGGAGAGTCAGTCTTACCTGGAGGGCTTGATGAAGTTTATCAGCAAAGTACAGGGGTGTGTTCCGAATCACCAAGGCTGGAAGCAAAGAGGCAAAGATGGAGAGAGACCACCAACCACAATTCCACAGGAGGCCTCTGCCCCATGGTTCCAAGCAGACCCCTTACCTAGGCTGAGCAGAGCCACGCAGGCGGCTCCATGGAAACGGGCCCGGACAGTCTTCTCCAACTCATGCCCCGTGTCCCACTGGTACTGGTTCAACACTGTGGTGAACACGGGAGGGAGTCAGAAAAATAAGTGGGGGAGGGGTGGTTATCCCAGAGAAGGATGAGCCCTCCCCAACTTCCTCAGCCAGAACTCATCATCAGAGGAAGCTGGGGAGACCAGAAGACTCCTGTGTACCTCGGACGAGGTGTTCGGGATTGCGCTGGGTGAAGACAAGGACCCACATCCTCTCTCTGCTGGGTCCTTCAGCCTGCTTTAACGCCTGGGAGCAGGGAGTAAATCAGAATCACTGGTTGGGGGGTTGGGGGGCCACGGTTATGGTGTTCCCAGAATCCATAAACATGGAAAAGCTTATTTTAACCTATAAATTAGTTCCTTTTATTTATCTGTGTAGCACAGCATGCGGGACCTTAGTTCCACAACGAGGGATCGAACCTATGTCCCCTGCTGTGGAAGGAATTAAATAATCCCCAAATGCCCATAAGAGGACAATGTAGAGGCCAGATGAGTGGAAAAAGCTGCCTGACACCCCACGTCCCCCTTACGTCACTGAGGACTCCTTCCCAAGGCAAGGACCGTTTTGCAGGACAAGTGGGAACACAGGTCACCGGCTCTAAGATACAGTGTCTTCCATGCACGTGCACACTCCCCCGCCCCTTGCTCACCTGGACGTCCTGTGCAGCCAGATTATAGTCAATGATTCCAGTGTAGGCCTCGCGGCCCCCCTAGAAAGAAAAACTCTTGGAGGGCAGTTTTTTATCACCAGACCAACAAACCAAACCTTGGTCTCCCCCCAGAGCCCTCTCCTGCTCATTACACCACAGCTGGGTGCTCCCCAACGGGGTAACTCCCTTCCGCCCAGACCGGACCCCTTACCTTGGCCAGGGCCAGGAGCAAGTCCCGCAAGATGCCTCTGGTCTCAGACTTGATGTCCTCCGCAGCATCCACTTGGAAATCTGGGATGGGAGCAGGAGCTCTCTGAATCCTCCTGACTTTTCTCAATGAGGATACCTCCAGGACCGGTCAGATGCCTGTGCCCTGTCAGTCCCGCTGTCCCCTGCTTGATGGCCGCTAGTTCCCAGGATGTAAGGCAGAAGCACCACCGTGGCCACCCTGAAAGCATCTCTAAGCTGCAAGTAACCTGTGCGCTGTAGGGCGGCCTCATCTCTTAGTGCCAGACTGCTGGGGGCGGGAGGCAATCAGTTACTCGAGTGGTGGCCAGACAGTGAAAAGAGGATGCGGGTGCCCATATTGTGAAGCAAGATGGCTAGGGTTGGGCCCCCTCCTTGGAGGTGGGGTGAAGTGATGAGGGAGGTAGAATGTGAAGAAAGGAAAGAGCAGGAAAGGGAGAAAAGGAAGGGGAAAAGAGAAGCAGGAAGGAAAAGGGGTAGGAGAGTAGTTAAGAAAATAGGCCAAGGGACTTCCCTGGAGGTCAAGTAGTTAAGACTCCACACTTTCATTGCAAGGCACACTGGTTCTATCCATGGTTGAGGAACCACGATCTCATATGCCTGGGATCTTTTGGCATGGCCAAATAGTTAAAAAAAAAAAAAAAAGATAGGCCAAGGTGGGACATCAAAGGAAAACTGGGGAAAGCAAGAAAAAAGAGGGGGTGTGTTAAGATGAGGGTGAGAAAAAACTAGTTACCAATTAGTGGGTGAGGCATGTGGCAGTCACTGCAGGGACAGCAGCCAGGGGCCGAGAATTGATACCTACAAGAGCAGGTCCCCACCTTTCCCCCTGGCTGCATCGAGCGTCCATTCAGCCTGGGATGTGGCATAATGGCAGAATCAGCAAGGGGCTGGGAAGGTGACTTGGGTGCCCTTGGGACTGTCACAGGGCTCAACCTTGTCATTACCTCAGGATCCACCCTGGAGCCCCAGACTATGACGGTTAATGATTGCTTCTCTCTCTTTAATGATGACAACTGGCTGTCTCCCTGGGGAGACTGAGCCCGGCGGGGCGGGGTCGGGGAGGAGGAAAGACCCCAAGGGAACAAGAGGCGGACAGGCTCCCACAGGGCTCCCTGCAGGGAGTGCAGGGGAGGCAGGACTGTCCTGTCCAGCCCTGTGTCCTATCCTCCACACTCTTACTGTGTTTGTAGACTGCCAGGCACTCCCGCAGCTGGGGTGGGGTTCGGGTGGCAAGAATTTCCAAGGCCACATCTTCAGCAGAACCTGAGCCCTACAAGAAATTGGGAAGCCACTCTGAGACTGAGCCATGTCATTAGAATGGTGGGGAGCAGACACTGACCATTTGTCCTTTTGAGGGTCAACAGGGACTACTTTTCCAGGGGGCTTCTGCCAAGTCCACTCCTCTGGAGTGGGCAAAGGCAAGGCAGTCAACCCTTTCTTTCCCTCAATGGGGTCATCACTCCTGGCAAAGCTCCTCTCCTGGTATCTTCAATGAGCTTAGTTCCACAATCCTGTCCAACTCTTTGCGACCCATGGACTGCAGCCCACCAGGCTCCTCTGTCCATGGGGATTCTCCAGGCATGAATACTAGAGTGGGTTGTCATGCCCTCCCCCAGGGATCTGCCCAACCCAGGGATTGAACCTAGGTCCCCGCAATGCAGGCAGTTTTTACTATCTGAACCACAAGGGAGGCCCAAGAATACTGGAATGGGTAACCTATCCCTTCTCCAGGGATCTTCCTGACCCAGGAATTGAAGCAGAGTCTCCTGCACTGCAGGTAGATTCTTTACCAGCTGAGCTACCAGGGTACCTTCAAGGCTTTCCTCAATTCCCGGGCATCGAGATGGGCTGCAGGCTGCAGCAGATCAACCACGATCCTCTCCAGGTTGCCAGAGAGTGCTGCCTGCAAGGACTTCAGTAGGTCCTACAAGAAACAGTCCCCACGGCAGAGGAACGGCATGAGGTGGAGAGTCCCAGGTGTGTGAGGAGGTTTGGGGATATTTGGCTGCTTCTCATCTCAGACCTAACCACCAGGCTTCCCTTCCCCCCACAGCCTAGGTTCAGCAGGGGGTAAGGGCTGGTCTCAACTGCTCTTGTGCCAAGTTTCCTGGGGGCTTCTCCCCGCAGCCCACGTCTCCTGGGAATCAGTGTGGTCTCACCTGCTGGGTGCGTTCGTGGAAGGCTCGAGAGATGAGCTGCCTTTGCTCTCGGCTCCGGTTGGTCAGCACGTCCAGAATTGCAAGACAGTCCACACCTGAACCAAGGTGAGGGCTGGCCTGTGAGCCTGGCAGAGCCCTGGCAGAGTCTTTACAGAGCTGAGATCCCCTTATTCCTTGACTTGAAGCCTCCAGGGGAGGAGATGACAAGGTCTAGGAAAAGCTACACCCTCCCTACTACCATTTGATCCTGAAGAAGTTGCCAGTGGCTTGTGAATCTGACCCAAAGTTAAGCAAAGGTGGCCTGGTACAGTGCAGAAAATGGCCTTTTGGGATCACAGGCTTGCTTTAGAATCCCAGCTCTGCAATATTTTGAGCTGTGTGATCTTGGGCAAGGCTTTTGACCTCCCTGAGCCCCAGTTTCCTCATCTGTGAAACAGAAATAGTATGACTTGCCTCAGAGGGGCGTTGTGAAAATGGAGATAAATACCTACTGGGTACCAGACACACAGGAATGAAGGCATTCCACAAAGATCTATTGAGTGTTGTCAGTTCCTCCTTCTAGCTCCTTGGTGTACAGACTGATTTCTAAAAGATAGATGCCCAAGCCAAGCGCAGAGGGAAAGGGCTCACCTTGGCCTGCTATGGCCTTCAGCAGCCTCTGTACATCCTTGTCCACACTGAAGCTCAAGAAGGTTCTGAGGGTGCCCAGGGTGCCCCAAGCTGCAGTCTGTAAGACATGTGGGTACCAGAGTCTGCCTATGATCTTCTCCAGTGACCCAGGCAGGCCCTTGGCATAGCCTCAGGCTAGATCTTCCTTTCCTACTCCTCACCCCCTCCCCCTCAGCCTCTGCATTAATATAAAAATAATTTTAAAAAATAATTCCTACAGTCCCAACAGCCCTTACCTTGTTGGCAAGGCCCAGGTGACTGAGGATCTCCTGAGTCAAGGAGAGTCCCATCTTCCCGTGGGCCACAGACATGGTGCTACTGGCTGCCCTGGGGGGAGGGACATAGGAGCCGACTGAGGGGACATCCCCCTAGCTCCCCAGGGCCTCTTTATGACCCCCAGGCCTGGGAGCCCAAGTGGAAGGTAAGAAGGGTGCCCCCACTTTCCCCACCACTCACCGTCGTTCAGGAAGCAAGGCTTGATCAGGGATGCTGCTAGAACTAGCGCCAAAACAGACCCTCCCAGACTCTGGGGCTGGTCCCCAGCATCCCCAGCCCGAGGTCTGAGATGGATGATCCCCTACTGAGGTCCACCTCCCCCTCCCTGCCATGGCCTGGCTGGCTCTTCCCGGGGCAGTGTGGGGGAGGTGAGGATTAATATGCAGGGTGGGAAATAACAGCACCTCCCCTCACATCAGCCCCAGACTACAAGTGAGATTGTCACCTGCCCGTCCGCTCCCACCGCTGTGCTGTGTGCCTTTCACCCTCAGTCTCCCGCTGGAATCTTTAGGTCAGCAGCTGCAGTCTCTGAGCTGAGGTGAGTGTGTGTTCTTGTGGGTACATGGGTACCTGGAGAAGGAAGCAGGCACTCATGTTAGAAAAGTCCTTTCTCCCTCCCCCAAGTCATCAACGAGTTCCTACCAGTCTCCCCCCTCACCCAGCATGAGAGCCCAGGTCGGTGCTTACCCAGAGGTGCTGGGGGCCAAGTGGGTGTCGTCAGAGCCTGGCGTGGTGCCTTGTGTGGGCACCAGCTCCAGTGTGGCCTGGGACAGGTCAGTGGTGTGTGCCGCCCAAGCTGAACAGCCAGTCAGATGACCTCTGTGGAAGACCAGCCCCGCCGTCCTCGGGCTCTGGCCCCTCCCAACTGTGGGAGAGGACCAGGCTGTACCGCGTCCCACATGCAAACACCTCCCTACAGCATCTCTCCTCCCAGGACCTGGCCTCAGCCCAAACAAGAGAAGTCCGCTGGCCTCTCAGCAGCTCGGTCCTGACACAGGAGGCTTTGTGCACTGCTTTCTCTGCGGGGCTGGGTTGGGACCACAGAAGCCCAGTCTCTGAGTCCAGTTTCTGACCTGGCTCTGCCTCTGCCTCTAGCTCCCTGGGGGGGGCAGGTCAGACAGGCTCCAGGCTGATTTGGAGGCTGATAGAGAAAAACCTGTTGGGGCACATACCAGTGGGGCACCCCAGCCTGCACCCTAGAGGGGTCCCAACCCAGAAACTGCCTTGATGATTGCCTTACTGGAGCAGTAGTGAGGGGGAGTGATGGGAAGAGTAGGGCGGGGAGACTGTAAACCACTGGGGAAGGAAGAGCACAGGTGTTTCTGGGTGGGGGAAGATCAGTAGAGTCAGGAGAGAAAAATGTGAAGGGTAATCCCTGTGGACAGAAGCATCGTGCTCTCAAAAGGCAACAGGGAGATGAAGGAGGCTCCCTGGGTCCCTGCGTCAGATTCCTTCTGTTGCCTTTTAGCAGCCAGGACTATTTTAGCGGTAGGTGATGCAATTCCAGCAGCTTTCTTGGAGGCTGTCAGTGCACAGAACGGCAGGTAAACAGTCTTAGGGAGCCAAAGGGGCCCCTGAGCAGGCAATTACTTGAATCTCACAGACAACTCCCTAGGGCCTAGGAGCAGTCTCCTTCCTGCAATGCTAGACAGGTCAGGCAGGGGCTGGGCACAGAAGCTATCTGTATTTCTCTGCCATGCTCCTACCCTGGAAGGTCCTCATTGGTTTTCCTACATCCCTGAGGAAGGACCAGCTGCTCATCCTCAGAGCAGACCAGGCCTAAGGAGGTGCTGTAAAGGGAGATTTCCATGGTGACAATCACTGCACCTCACTTTTCTCTCCTGTTAAAGGGGAAAGCATGCAGTGATTTTTGCTGAAGAATGTGGGTTCAGTCCCAGTTCTGCCACTTGTTATATTCTATAACCTCAGCTAGTCATTTCAGGTCTTCATGTCTCTGCTGGAAAAAAAAGGGGGCGGGGAATAATGGGAGAGGATGAAGTGTTGTGGGCAGGGTTCGGGAGAGTAGGAGGGTTGAGTGATTGGAGGGGGAATTCTGGAGCACCTGGGAACAGGCTTCCTGGGGGGATTAAATGAAGTAATATGTGTGATGACATTTGAGACAGAAAAATGTCCTGTAGGGCAGTCGAGTGGTTAAGACTCCATGCTTCCATTGCAGGGGGCACGGTTCAATCTCTGGTCAGGGAACCAAGATCCAGCATGCTGCAGGATGGCCAAAAAAAAATAAAACAACCCCAGATCCTGATTTATACCGATAGATCATTCTATGGGATTACATCTAAAATAATAAACAATATTCTAAGATGTGCCTTATAAATTAAGGTTGCCAGATTTAGTAAATATAACAATAATTTGTTAGTACTGAGTATGACCCACATGTTTCGTAGGATTTGTGTGTGCTTGCTAAGTTACTTCAATTATGTCTGACTCTTTGATACCCTATGGACTGTAGCCCTCCATGGGGATTCTCCCAAGCAAGGATATATAATGCTAATAGGGTTTCCCAGGTGGTGCTAGTGGTAAAGAACCCACCTGCCAATTCAGGAGAACTAAGAGACTGGATTTGATCCCTGGGTTGGGAAGAGCTCCTGGAAGAGGGCATGGAAACCCACTCCAGTATTCTTGCCTGGAGAATTCCATGGATAGAGGAGCCTGGTGCACTATAGCCCATAGGTTCGCAAAGAGTTGGACATAACTAAAGTGACTTGGCATGCATGCACGATGCTAATAAATTATTTAACTGAGTGTCCTATATTTTATCTGGCAGCCTGAAAAATGGGATGGTTTCAGCATGGTGATTAAAAGCAAAGGTTCTGAAGCCAGACTCCTTAGACTTAGAATGTCTGGTCTGCTGTGTGACTCTGGCAACCACTTTAACATTTCTGTGCTGTTTCTTTCTTGTCAAAACAGAGATTTAAAAAAAAAAAAAACTGGTGATAATAGCAGTGTTTATATTATAGGCTATTGTGAGGATTAAATAAATACATGCAAAGCCCTTTAGGAGAGTGCTGGGCGTTGAATGGTAACTACATGTAAAATACTAACTAATTTGTAACAATACATATGTTATAATGTTATTTTATAACATCATAATGTTATAATGTTATTCTATAGCATTTCCCTAAGAATTGCAACCTTGGCTCTCTTCTGCAGCTTCTTCCTTCCAATCCCGGATCTGGCCACAAGAGGCCATCAAAAGCCACTGCAAGAGAGCCTTGAGACCACCCCCTGGTGGCCACTAGTGGTCTAGGAAGCTCTGATTCCCCTTGGTATCCGAGGCGGCTCTCTTGGCCCAAGGACATGAAGTTCCCCAGAGGACTCCATGGGCAGGTAGAGTCAGGGAAGAGCCTCAGGTAGACATTTACTCCAGGGGCCCCGCTGAGACGAATCTCAGCACACACGCAGGAGACTTCTAGGCTGGGTTATGGCAGAAAAGCAGCTCCACAGCCAGGGTCCCTGGGCCTTTGGCTTTCTGTACCCTTGAGAATCTCTTTTGGGCATGTTCCAAGTAGGCTTAGGGGGAAATGAAGGGCAAAAGAGGGCTCCTGTTTCTCCAGCCTAAACCTCTGCAAGGTAATGCTGGCTGACCTGCAAGGCTGAATACTGAACTTGGAGGAGGCAGAAGAGCAGTCCTTGTTGCCTAGCATTATGAGGAGGTATGTGATGCATTTACAGATGTCTCTCTGAAACTGGTGGAAGCTTTACTTCTTTTGTTCCTGGGTTTTGTTTTGTTCAACTCCAGGGTCAGATTGAGGCCTTTTTCAGATTTACTAAAGCACCCTCCAGGGCATCTCTGGTGGCTCATCGGTAAAGAATCCTCCTACAATGCGGGAGCTGCAGGAGACACAGGTTTGATCCCTAGGTAAGGAAGATCCCCTGGAGAAGGATTTGGCAACCCACTCCAGTATCCTTGCTTGGAGAATTCAATGGACAGAGGAGCCTGGTGGGCTACAGTGCATGGGGTCGCAAATGAATTGGATAAGACTAAGCGACTGAACAACAGCAACAAATCACCCTCCGTACCCATGCTCTAAGTCTTAGAATTTCAGAGTTGGAGAAGATCTTAGGGATGACCTGACCTACCACCCTCTTGTTACTGACTCAAGGAGACTGAGTGACTTCCAAGGGCCATGGTGTTGGAACCAGAATCCAGGTCTCCTAACTTCTCAGTGTTTTCCTCATCACTAAGATGAGAAGGTCAACTGAAAAAAAAAAAAAAAAAGCACAACGTAAAAGTAGAGAATTATGTTTTATTTGGTGGACAGTACTTAAGCCTGGAATGCAGCCTCTCAAATAGCTCTGAGGGACTGCTCTGAAGAGGTAAGGGAGGAGCCAGGATATATAGGAATTTTGTAACAAAAACTAGGTAGTCAGAATATCAAAAGATTACTGTTTATTTTTATTTTTTTTAAGATTACTGTTTATTAAAGAAAACAAGACATGTCAAGTTAATGAATGTAGTGCTTCTTTATGTAAGGAAAGATGCAAAAGTCTGGGTTCGCTGAAATTATCCCTTTGATATGTATCTCAGCTATCTGGGGCCAGTATCCTTTGTTTTCCCATCCTAAGTCTCCTCAGGGTGCACCACTGTGGGAGTGACTGCAGTGGCTGATAGCTTAATGGAGGGCATCCTATTTTTGTTTTGAGTTCTCTCAGGACTCAACGTCCTGGCAGCTATAATACGATGGCTCGATGGCTGCAATAGCCTTTCTTTACTGATATGGTAGGCAACATTTTTTCTTTAAGAAGGGCATGACTGACTTGGGGTCTCCTCGTAGGACAAGCAGCAAGTAACATACAGAGCCATAGCTATTGACTCATGAAAACTTGTTCAGCTCTAGGCCCCGATTGCTTTTCTGCCCTCTGCATGGGTTTCAGAATATGCAGAAATTCCTCCTGGCTATTTCTCCTCTTGTTATAAAACTTTTTTCCCCAGAATTCCTTGCATCTTAATCCCTCTGCTCATGTTTTGGCCAAACTCTACTCTTTATATCTAGAGTCTTGTGTGTTACACAAG